ACGTGTGGTACTGAGGCAGTGTGGGAACCATTGGTGAGAGCAAACCATTTTTCTGTGAGATCAACATCCCCATCCATTATCATGCAGCTTGTCGCCACACCTTCTTTGAGTATATACATGTGATTGCTAGTCACTGCTGGTCGCCTGTCTTCCATGTCAGCTGCCCAAGCTTCATCGTAGATTTCATCAAATTCAGACGTGTAGTTCATGGTGACATGGGGTGGGTCTTCAGGTGGATAGTATGCATTGAGTGTTTGTATCCATGCTTTCCATTGTTGAAACTCCTTGCAGACCCTTGGTGAGTGGGTCTGGACTAAGAAGCTTCAGCCAGTATACGTATGCCTGCTCCTCCTCCTCTCCTTCTTCTTGACCGTTTCCCGTATACAGTACAACATTCTTGCTGATTTTCCGGCCGTATTATGACAGAGTGTAGTTATCGGGAGAGTGGTGGCATGCAAACCTTCTGAGCCACAATAGATACTACACCCAAGTTTTGATAGAAGATCCCTTCCCATCAATCCAACTGAGCATTCTGGATTATATAGGAATTGATGGGTTACCTTAAGTCCATCCCATACAACCTCTAGTGGTATGGTGAAATGCTATCTCATTACAGCCCCGGAAACACCAGAGAAAGCCTGTGTTCTGGTAGTAAGTTGGTATGCTGCTTGCACAGAGGACCATGTGCATCCTGTGTCAATCAGCATACTGTGCAGTTTCCCCCCTATTAGGCACTTTACAACTGGCTCCACGTCCGGGGGAAAGGTGTAGATGGTATTAGTGGAGGGGTGTTCAGGCGTTTCCGGGCAGCTTCATTGACTGTTGTATTCTCCAGCCCAGGCCATATTAGGGACCAGTTCTGGGTTTGGTGAGTCTGTAATTGACCCTGGTCTTGTGCTAATGCCTGTTGTTGCTGTTGGAACTGTCCACCACGTCCTCCCTGCCAGGTTCCCCTTGCTCTTGGTGCCCACTGCCCCCTTCCTCGATTCTGGCTCATGTACCCTCTTCCTCTGCCCTGGAATTGCTGTCTTGGCATAGTGCAGTTCCTAGAGATATGTCCTGGACCCCCACAGTTGAAGCACACTTGGTTCCCATACCTGGATATGTATGGTGGCATATATGGTGGCTGATATCCGGGATGTGCTTGGGGAGCCGGGGGTGGGCTGGCATATACCAGGGGTGGTAGCGGTGGTTGATAGGGAGCGGCAAGTGCCCGTTCCGGTGTCATCAGTCCTGCCATAGCCTGTACTATTGCAGTTACTGTTGCCACATCCGGGGTGGGTGCCAGAGCCCCAGACATGGGTGTACTTGTCACCACCATTTGCTTTCCAGGCTTATCCGCCGTCAGCTGTTTCTTCAACACCTTCTTCTGTAGCTGTTTGATTTCATCCTCTTCCTTTCGTTTACCTTCTCTCCATCTCTCCACATGGTGCTGGGCTATATCAGTGAATTCCAATACGCACAATACAGTGATGCCTACCACTTTCTCACACTCCACTCTCACTTGTTCTGGGAGTCCTTCTAGACAGCTCGCCAGGAATAGGTATTTTGTGGTTTCCTTTCCTGGTTCCTCGTTCCAGGCCTGCCTCCACATGCCTTTTGCCTTCTTCATGTATACTGGAACAGTCTCATCCCCCTCCAGTGTCAGACTTTTCATCAGCTGAGGTCTTGGTTTAGTCGGGTATTTGTATCTTATGGCATCCCACACCTGTCCATGGTGTTGGTCAAAATGGGTTGATGCCGCCACCCTTCCTCTCACTCCTCCCGCAGCGAAGATTTCACGACATTCCTGATCCCCCATACATCTGTTAATCACTGTTGCCATGTCTCCTATCATGAGTTCATCTGCTGCAGTCAGGCTTTCAAAAGCTTTTACCCATCTGTCACCAGACTCCTCCGGGGCAGGAAGAGCATCCACCAGGGTTTGTACGTCTCTGTGTGCCCAGGGCTTGTAGATGGCACCACCCCCTGGTGTATCTCTCATTGGGTACAAGCCCCTCGTTTCACGGACCCTAGTTTTTGCCCGTGTGCAACGTGCAGGTACGTCATCTTGATCCCATAATTCCCCTTCGAATCTTCCACATAGTATTTTGGGCTCTCTTCCCCCTGCTTCACCATGCTCTTCTCCCATATCTATATAGTGCCCTCTAGGAAGGGAGTTTGCTCTACTTCCTTGTTTCCTTTCCTCGCTCAAGTCTTGTATGGTTCTCTCCTGCAGCTGTTCCGCGCCTCTTCTTACTTCCTCTTCCAATATTTTCACTTCCTTATTTCTTTCTGCTCTCTCTCTCTGTCCTCCCTTTCCTGATTCTTCAGTTCTGTTTGGGTCAAACCCCCATCAAGCATCAGGCTTCCCCTGTCGCCGTCACCCGTCAGGCTCATACGACTTCCTTCTTCCTGTAATCTGGACATGTTCTCAACCCCGTCTCATATAGCTCTTGCTCCTTCTAGCAGTGCCCCTACCTCCAATCTCCGATCGCCCAGATCGCAAGCCCTCACCCATTTTTCTCCATCTTCCTCTTCTGGTCGCTTATGATATTCGACTTTCCCCACAATGTCAAGCGTTGGAGCCATCCGTTTTGGTACCTCGTATGGGGGTGGTGACATAGGCAGTTCTGGGTATAATCTGGGCGGGGGCGGAGCCGTAGGCAATCTGGATCCTTCTTTCTTGTCCTGCTTCTCCTCGTTGTTCTGTTTTTCTTCCCATATTTTCTTAAGTTTTCCCAACACTGCTAGTCCTATTCTTTCCTTCAGCCTTGCTTTTTCCATTGCTTCCTTGATTTTACCCCTTCTGGGTTCTCCCTCTTTCTTCCATTCCCCCTCTGTTTTCTGGGTTTTCCGCTTCAACGTTTCCAGTATTCTCCCTGGTTCGCCTCCTACAGGCACTCCATCGGGGGATAGTATACAACCATCCCCTATCCATTCCTTATAGAGTTTCTCTCCTCGCCTGCTCCATTCCTTCCCATCCTTCCCTCCATTGATTTCAAGTGTGGACTTTAAAACCTTCAATGTTCTTTCTGCTTCTCCACTGGTAGTCATGTTTTTCGTTTTAATTAGTAATAATCGTTCGTTATTTAAAATATGCTAATATGTTTGTTTAAATCAAATATGATTATTTCAGCCTAATTATTTAAAACCAGTATTCTTACAGTGCCACACATCAAATGGTAAATAAATAAAAATAACCCAAATTATTTCAATTATTTAACCAATGGTTGCTATGTCAAATCAAACGATAAACCATATTACTTCAATTTAATTATTTTGAAACCAGTATTTGTTATGTCATGTCAAATAGTAATTCAAATTACTTAAACTTAATTATTTATTTAAAACCAGTATTTGTTATGCCAAATCGAATGGTAATCCCAATTACTTAAACTTAATTATTTAAAATTAGTATTTGTTATGTCAAACATTAAACGTTAAATCAAATAATAAACCAATTTGCTTCAACTTAATTATTTAAAACCAGTATTATGCTATGTCAAACATCAAATGATAAACCAAATTGCTTCAACTTAATTATTCAAAACCAGTATTATGCTATGTCAAACATCAAACGTTAAATTTCAGTTATATCAGTTCAAACGTTTCAGTCTAGTCATACTAGTTATTCATTATTTTACCTTTATATTCCCAATTTACTATTACTCCTACCAACCTCGCCTCCTATTCCTCCCCCTATCTACAAAATACTCAGCCGAACCTAGCCGTACCCTCGTAGTTACGGACCTCGCCGGTCACTAGTATTTTATCTAAAATTTCCCGAACCTAGCCGTACCCTCATAGTTATGGACCTCGCCGGTGTAATTCTTCGAACCTAGCCGTACCCTCGTAGTTACGGACCTCGCCGATAGCAATTACTAATTCAATTATTCCCTATATCCTCGAACCTAGCCGTACCCTCGTAGTTACGGACCTCACCGAGAGATTTCAGTATTTTCTCCGAACCTAGCAGTACCCTCGTAGTTACGGACCTCGCCGGTAGAACATCACATTCACCACAGGTTTGCATGTCACAATATGGTGCTTATCTACTCATAATAATTCGTATAATAATTCATAATTTAGTTCACTTACATCAAACGGGTGTTTCACAAAATTAATTTGGATAAAGCCAATGTGCAGAACTTTAGTTATATAACAATAGGTGTCTGCTTACCTGTTTTTAGTAGTCCGGACTCTTTGTGAAACACACCGTCCAATGACAGAGATGTCCAATGGGCTGGACAATATCCAGCGAAGTCCCTCTACCAGATCACGTCGGGGTCACCAATTGTTAAGTTGCGTCAATTCAAATCTGGTATAGGAACAAAAAGAGGTCAATACACGTCTTCTAAAATAGACTAGTATTTTAATTAATGCAAACACTTGAATGGTAAATATGATGTTCGTATATACGGGTCCACTGAAACACCACGCAGGGCAGTCAGAGAACTGAGCCATTGTTATAAGTTCTTCTTTAAATACTCTGACAGAGATAGTTCCCGCTCCAGGCAGGCCTATCAGAGTAGAGGCTGGGCGTGGTTTAAACTTACCCAGCCTATCGTTGGCGATCAGGCTGGTCCCAGACCCTTGGCGCTTCACTGTTGCCAGGTGTTATTTGTTTTGCAACTTGTCCAGAGAGTCAGCACTTTTGCAGTACACATGTCCTTGAGCGGTTTAACATAGAGGCTGTGTGTGTGAGTCTACAAGCCTGTCTCAGCCTACCCCCTAACGGTTCCTCACATGAATCACAGCTTGTTATGTTAAACAATCTATATCAGTACAGCATAAACCTATTATGTTTAATCATTAATGCATTCTTTTTAAGCTAGGCATTCACATCTAATTATAAGAAAATAGATCCCCACAGGACCCATGCCAAATCTTTTCAGTCTCCTGAGGGGGAATAGGCTTTGTCGTGCCCTCTTCACGACTGTCTTGGTGTGTTTGGACCCTGCTTACTACAAACACATTTCCAGTACACATAAACACATTATTGTCCTTCCTCTCCTTAGTTGACCAAGATCACTCGAACAGGCTACAACAGCTGGGAGACCAAAAAGATAATTGCTGTTTCATTTGCCCCACTGGTGTTGCCCAAACACCGAGACAACAGTAAACCTAAAGCAGTGCCTTTACGTAAGTACTGTACTAGCATATCTGTCATATGATTGTCTTTGTAGCAGAGGTAGTTTTCCAAGTGAGCCTTTGTGTGATGAGTAACCATGTTGAAGATCTGGGCCCCTATTCGCAAAGCGTCTGAGTAGTGGTGTGCTGATCTACGATACATTTTTTATTTTAGATTATAATGAATACGACAGGGGGACCTGATAGGGGAGGCAGGTAGCCTAGTGGTTAGAGCGTTGGGCCAGTAACCGAAAGGTGACTAGTTCGAATTCCCGAGCAGGCAAGGTGAAAAATCTGTCTGTGCCCTTGAGCAAGGCACTTACCCTAATTGCTCCAGGGTCGCTGTTCATAATGGGTTAACCTGGCCATGACCCCACTCTCCGAGGGTGTCTTAGGGGGAGTTCGGATTTGCAAAAAATATAAGAACAAATATAGGCACCCTCCAAATTATTATTATTCTAGATCAGCACTCCTACTCTGAGAGGCTTTGTGAATTCAGGCCCTGGAGACTCAAGAGACTGGGGAAGGAGGTTGGAGGTGAAAGCAGTTGAACACTGTTGTCTCAAATGCATGGGAAGGCAGAACTTACATCACTTACTATTTGGGGGAGAGTGAAATGGTTTCCTCTTGTGGTGTGTGTGTGTGTGTCTCCTCAGCGGCCATGTTTGAGGTGCGGACTCTGCAGGACTTGGCTCGCATCTCTATCCGCCTGACGTTGAAGAAGACAGTGGCGGGGCCAGGGCCATTGCCCAGGAGGAGGCTGGCCCACAGCGGGGAGCGGTTCCGACGAAGGCGGGCCCAACACCGTGGCTCCACCCTGCTCTCCAACCGCTACGTATTCATGAGCCGCCTCATTCCCGGACCGACGGACAACAACAACAACCGCTCTGGCACCGACACCGAAGAGGAGGAGGAAGAAGAGGGGAACTGCAGGGTTCTAGGAGATCCTGAGGAAGAGGAGCAGGAGGAAGAGGCGCAGGAGAGGAGGGAGGGCGGTGCCCTTCTACATGAGGCTCCAGTGAACCTGCTAAGAGAGAGGATCCTGGGCCTGCCGCTCCCTGAGCCTCTGAAGATGTACCTCCTTCACTACAGAGAGAAGTAGGGAGGGACAGGAGATGAGAAGCTGTGCTCCCATTCTCTAACTAGTTCCCATCCCTATGCCCTTGTTGACTCCCCTTTCTGGATACAAAAGTAATGGATGTGTAAGAAATAGGCTGATAACTCCACCGGAATGGCTAAAATGAGTTCCCACTATTTTTCTTACAGTCTACCTAATAAGTTGCAAGTCAACAACTGGTGAATTTGAAATCGACCCCTAAAAACGTCATGTTGAAGTGAATAACTAGAAGAATTGGATAAGTAAAAGCAATATTGTAATAGCACTATCTCCCCCTCCCGATAGCCCAGGTACGCCTATCCAGAGGTGCCTAGGGGGTAAAGGTTGAGTTGGGAAAAACAAGGATGCCGAGTTAGGGATTGGGAGCTTACTTAGTTAGCCCTAGCCCCAGAGCCGTCACCACCACCAGCCCCCTAGGACTATTCCCAACACCTCTGAACACTGAATTCTCATCTCACCATCTTTTGGGATATCTTCTGTTTTGTGCCTGACAGTGGCACCCAGTCTCCAAGTCCTTCTTTATTCCCTTTGAATTTTGTAAATGTGATTTTTTGGAAAATGATGCTTTTGACTGTGACCGAACAATTCACTGGAGCTTTTGAGATGGACTTACAAAGACTGAAAGCCCCAAATGTTGTGGAAATATTTGCTCATTCTGTGTTCATATCTGTAATGTCTTCTCATATCCTACTGCATTGAATGTACTTGGTGAAAGCAGGGGTGACATAACAGAAATTGCCTCTTTAACAAAATCACTTAAGGTAAATGTTGAGGGCTCCAGGTATGAAAAAAGTATAGTAACACATTTTTACATATCTGTAAATACTTACACACACGGTAGGTACAGAAAGGAAAGGACCACATTGTCAAACAGCATTACCTGAATTCACTCCTTTTGTGAATTCTTTCATCAAATCTTTTCAAATAATAGGAGACTGCAAAAGCCTCGGCACTGTAAAACACCCTGGATTAGGGGTAGAAAGTGAATGTGTGGGATAGCAATGTACCATTGGGTTCTCAATACAGAACTGTAATCAAAGTAGTAAAGAATTTATGTGTATCCACCTGTGAAGGAATTTAAGCACCAATTGGTCTACATTGGAACTTCAGTGTGATGGACTGTGTTATGCTCTTTGATGCTGTTTTGCGTTTTGTCTGTTTTCAGTGCCAAACTTCTCCAGCACTGGCCGGCTCCAAATGTTTCTTGCGGTTCAGTTCTACAATGTGTCAAGTTGTTCAGCGGAAGTAAAAATGATGTGTATTTAGAATAAATATCTGTGTGACAAAATACGTTTGGAAAAGGACTGTAGCGTGACTGCTATCATTAAAATAAGTTGAACTATACTGCCAGCAAATCCAAAACGAGTGTTATTCAGTATGAAAAAATGTATGCACTCACTAACTGTAAGTCGCTCTGGATAAGAGCGTCTGCTAAATGACTAAAAATGTAAAAGTACAAATGTTATTGCTTAATACCAGGCAGCTCAATTTGAGCTTTATTAGTTTTGAATATTGGGCTTATATGCAGAGTATAGACTTGACTTTGTGCAGGGAAAAATTGAAAGAAAGCAATTACAAAAAAAACAGACCAATGTAATTTATGCTTGCTTTAATTATTTAAAAAAATATTTATTTGCAAGAAAGAGACTAGAACTTATTCCCCTCCATGCAGGGCCAGAGAGGAAAACAATAACAATAACGGCCACCATTTTCACACTGAACTGATGACAGGTGTCAAGATGAGGTAAATGTTTTGAGAAAAGAAAAAAGGCACAATCAACCGTGCCAAATAAATTCACATTAATAATTACAATAAAAAATAATAATCATAAAGGCATTAGAAAAAATAAGCAACAAATACAGACCGATTGTATAATACAAGGCATCACCCAGCCCCTGTGTCCCACCCTCTTCCAAGGGTCACGTAAATGTCAAAGCCTTAAGTCCCACACACTTGTTTCTCTCACAAGTCCTGGGTGTGTTAGGTTAGTTAAGTTTATACATGGAGCAGGTATGCTGAAGGTGGAACGGCATATAACACCAAACCACCAACACTGTAGCAACGTCAAAGAAAGCGCCTATCTGACCACCAGGCAGGATACACAGAGTTTGGAGGGGCCGATGCAGTCGTCGTGGCAGAAGGCCCCGCAGCCCTGGCACATGATCATGGCCTTGAGGCGGCAGGAGCACTTGAGGGCCACCTCCTCAGCGGCGCTGTCTGCGAACGCCTGGATGCTGAGCGTGGCGCTCTGGCTGGCACTGTGGCGCTGACGCAGCTGCAGGACGCCGTCAGCGATGCTCCTCGAGAAGCCGCTGCCGTCCACCATCGACACGTTGGCCGTGTAGCTGAAGCCGGGCGCCGCCACACCGCAGCCCTGCTTGGGCAGCTTACCGTAGAGCTGGAAAGGGAGGGAGGAGGTTGAGGAGGAGGAGGATGAAGAGGAGGGGGAGGTGGAAGAGTACTGAGCTTTGCTCTGCGCCTCCTTCTTAGCCATGCGGGCTAAGGACATCTCCATGTTCAGCAGTCCCTCCATAGCCCCACCTCCTCCAGTCAGGTAACCATCCATAGAGTTCACTGCCTCCTTTTTGGTGACCACCATACCTGGCCCGCCACCTACCATGGGGCCAGAGGGGGAGGTTTTGGAAAGAGCTTGACAAGAGGGCCGGGAGGTGACCTCGCTCTTCACGCTGGGTGCGGGCGAGAGCTGCTTTTGGTGCGGGGGGTGGGGTTTGGAAGGGTGCCAGTTTATCTTGACAGAGGGGACCACCTCAGATGGGCAGAGGTCCGGGGTGGCCCGGGGCTGAGTGAGGTTGTTGTGGTGCCTCTCCGGAGACTCTCGGATGACGGCTGACTCTTGGGAGTTCCGTCTGGAGGAAGAGGACGAAGAAGAGAGAGATGTGATGACGGGCACGGCCCCGGGGGGCACAGCGCCTCCTGGCTGCTGGGACAGGTACTGTTGCATGGCCGTGGCCCGAGAGGAGGCCTCCTCCAGCAGGCAGGCCATGCGGGAGGGCACTGTGCCTGGGGGAGAGGACCCGACGCTCCGGCTTGCTCCAGGGGAGCCTCCTCGGCCTGCAGGGGAATTCTGTTGGTTCTGAGAGGACAACTCGGGGACCAGGGACTCCCCCGTATGGGCCTCTGTGGGGGCCCTGAAGCGAGGGCCCGGGTTCCTGGTCTGTTGTTGCCGGATGAGCTGGGACTGGGGGGCTGGCTGGGGCCCCCCTGGCAGGCGGTTGATCTCTAGCTTGCTAGACGAGTGCGTCTGCGGCAGGACTTTCTCCAGCTGGAGGCTGCCTTGGAGCAGCTGGGTGACCAGAGGATTGTTGGCCTCCACTGTGGACACGGGCCGGGCCGAACTAGGGAGCCTCTTGGAGCCAGCGGTGGGGTGGATGGGAGAGGGCTTCAGCCCCAGCCTACAGTCCTCCTCAGCCGAGCCCCGGCTGGACGCTTTGTAGTCATCCATTGGGTCTGTTTTGTGCCCCCTCTGGGCTTGGGAATGTGGCGCAGCGAGAGCCTGTTGGTCTGGGTGGGGAGTGCATCCAGGCTGCTGCTGCTTTTGGCCTGGCTGTATGAGACTCTGGCTGGGCAGACCGTTGGGGAAGCAGGGCTGGATGACCGTTTGGCTGTGGCTGTGGTGGTTGGACATGTGAGCCTGGATGACTGGCTGCTGGTTTTGCTGTAGAGGGGGGCTGCAGATCACAGGCTGGCCATGGGCCTGCTGAGACAACCTTTGGAGGTGCTGGATGTTGCCGTTGCGCTGAGCGGGCAGGTGGTGGCTCCACATGCTCAGGTGGGGCTCCTCCTCCTGGCTCTCGTTCTCGCAGTCAGAGGCCGTCTCCGTGGAGTCACTGTGATGCCCTGCCTCGTCCTCTCTGACTGAAGGTGGGAGACGAGGGAGGGAGGCTGTTTCTCTCGCCCTCTCCAGGGGCTCCGACTGCTTTTTGCCCTGGCTGTGGCCCTCTCTGGCCAGGATGGGGGGGTTCTCTTGTGGCCCCACGTGGTGGGAACCATGCTGGATGACGCCCCCTCCTCCCCCTGCCCCCCTGTGCTCCCCCCTGGCCTGCTCGGTGCCAGCCAGGGACCTGATCACGTCTACTCCCTGGGCCCCGAACCTGGGCAGAGAATCTGGGATGGAGGTGGGCGCCAGGGGACCACTTTGGGCCGTTGTCCTATCACAGTCGTCCCCTTCGCCTCGCCCTCTGAGGTGGCTGGACACAGACTCAGGCTCCAGCAGTGCTGCATTGTCTGAGAGTCCATTGGAGGTGCCTTTGACTGGTGGTGGTGGTGGTGTTGGTGTAGTCCCCTCGTCCCCACTCAGCTCCCCCAGTCGCTCCTCCTGGGTGGTTGGGGATGGAGTGGGGGTTTGCGGGGGCTCGGAGGAGGACAGGGAGGGGTTGGAGGAGGTGGACAGGGAGGGGGACGAGGCAGCTGTGTTCGGGGTGGGGGTAGAGGAGGGCTCTAATTTGGACTGCTGTAGTTGTGTTCCAGGTGGATGAGAGCCCGCAGGCAATCCCTGCTTCTCCACGCCTCCTGCTCCTCCTCCGGGCTCGACGGGTCCTGGGTGCTCTCGTGTTCGTCTTCCACTGCTGCGATCCTGTAGCCCAGCACCAGCCCTGCCCCCGCCCGGCCCTGGTCCGTCCCCAGTGGCTGCAACAGCAGCAGCGGCCTCGCGCTGGGCCCGGGCCTGCTGGGCGCGGGCTTTGATGTCCGCCAGGGTGCGCGCCCCCGTCCCAGAGCGCCGCGAGCCCTCGCCGGGGGGCACGATGCGGGGACAGATCTGGTAGGTTGGCGGCCCTTTGACCCAGGGCGGTTTGATTCTGGAGAGTTGAATCTGGAGGGATACAGACAAGGAGAGCATGTCAAACATGGATTTTTCAAAGGCCATATAACGGACATTCGCATGCATTGCTTGGCTAAGAATCCCACACCGAAACCCAGTCAATCATCACTAATGATTTACCATCTTCAGAGAAGGAAGCTGGTTTCTGGCAAGGTGATTTGACATTTTTGGTGGAGACAAATCACAATAATCAAACTTACTTTACAGATTGTGGATTCCAGGTCTTAGGAAATTGAGTGCCTGCCACTGCACCACTACAGCCACAATAAAGACTTACAATTACAAATGGTGACCTCATACCCGGATAGGTGGGACCTTGGGCTCCTCTGCTGTCGGCTGCGGCTTTTCCGTGTGAACCCCGTCGATTGTGGTACGAAAGGACTGACGATCTTCCATTCGCGGCCTCTTTTCGGGGAAGCTGGAGAAGGCCTGGGGCTCGTCTGGCCTCCTCTTCTGCTCCTTGGTGGCTTGGGCAGTGATGGGGGTGGGGCTGGCTGCAGGGCTGCTCTCCCGGCTGCTGGTGGCCGTGCCCCCCGTGACCGAGGTGACCATGGAAGCCCCATCGTCCAGCGGATCAGCGGTGGCAGCGGCCGTGGAGGAAGAAGAGGACGAGGAGGAAGAGTCCAAGCCGGCGGTGAACCCCCCCTGTCTCTCGGAGTTGGAGGAGGGAGAGGAGGAAGGGGAGGAGGACGAGGAGGAGGAGGAAGATGAGGAGCAGGGAGAGGAGGTGGAGGCGACGGCAGGTGCAGGCTCTTCGGGGAGCAGGCGGGCGGTGACTTCAGGCTCATCGCTGGTGCTGATGGATACAGGGCTGGGACATGGGGTGGATACAGGGCTGGGACATGGGGTGGGCTCAGGCTCAGGCACGGTCACAAATGGGAGCGCAGACACAGGGGAAGGGCAGGGCACGGGCTCTAGGGAGGCACACTGGGCCGGGGCCTCCAGTCTACAGTCGGCCTGCAACACCACCTCTCCTCCCTGCACCGTGGTGGCCTCTGGGACGGGCGAGGGGACAGAGACAGAAGAAGCTGCGTCTAAAGTGAGTGTGCCCTCCGGCTGCTTGGAGGACTGCAGGGTGGGGGAGTTGGTCTTACAGAGGGTGCGTTGCGCCCTGCGTCTCAAGTCTGCCCGCGTTCGCCGTCTCATCCTGCCGTCCCGCCGCCGCCTGCCCACGCTGCGGCGCTTGGGCGTTCCCGCCGCCACCAAGGCCACCTTGCTGTCCAGGACGCTGGTGGCAGCATCGGCCGCGTCGCTCATCGTCAACTTCAGAGACTCTTCCCGGGTCAGGCCAGACCTGCAGCAATAGAACACAACATTAGTACACAGAGTATATACTTCTATAAAAGTGTTATACAGTTGAAATAATCAAGTAATTTGCAAATGGTCCATGGAATAACAGCCGATGTTGTGGCTGGGGGTATTCAGGAGACTTACTTTTGTCCGTGGTACTCCTCAAAGAACTTCTCCTTCCATGCCTCCACTTTCTTCTCTTTCTCCATCTCCTGGCGAAATCGCACCTGCATCTCATGGGTGAACTCCCCTGAGCAGGTCAAACAATATTACACAAGATTAACCCACATATCTGGCTATAGCGTTTTAAGTAATACCTTCATTCATGTATTGACTGACTCTGTTTCTCCTGGTATTTGCATGGTATTTAGTAGGAAGCTATATGATAGTATAAATGGGTACATTCTGGTACTGAATACCCAAGAGACAGTAATTCATGGGTTATTATTGTACACCCTGTTATTTCTAGAAAAATACCCGGCAATTTCTGTAGAGTAAAATAAATAGCTAGCGAATTAACTCCTGAAGAGAAGGAGTTCCCCGTGTGTGCGGCGCACAATTGGCCCAGCGTCGTCTAGGGTAGGGGAGGGAATGGCCGGCAGGGATGTAGCTCAGTTGTTAGAGCATGGCGTTTGCAACACCAGGGTTGTGGGTTCGATTCCCACGGGGTATGAAAAATTAAAAAAATTAAAAAATAATGTAAGTCGCTCTGGATAAGAGCGTCTGCTAAATGACGTAAATGTAAATGTGTAGCCAGTCACTAACCCCTAGTCATGTGATATCAGTGGGGCTTTATACCAACCATAGTACAGTGAAGGAAAAAAGTATTTAATCCCCTGTTGATTTTGTACGTTTGCCCACTGACAAAGAAATGATCATTCTACAATTTTAATGGTAGGTTTATTTGAACAGTGAGAGACAGAATAACAACAACAAAATCCAGAAAAACGCATGTCAAAAATGTTATAAATTGATTTGCATTTTAATGAGGGAAATAAGTATTTGACCCCTTTGCAAAATCCTTGTTGGCTATCACAGAGGTCAGACATTTCTTGTAGTTGGCCACCAGGTTTGCACACATCTCAGGAGGGATTTTGTCCCCCTCTTTGCAGATCTTCTCCAAGTCATTAAGGTTTCGAGGCTGACGTTTGGCAACTCGAACCTTCAGCTCCCTCCACAGATCTTCTTTGGGATTAAGGTCTGGAGACTGGCTAGGTCACTCCAGGACCTTAATGTGCTTCTTCTTGAGCCACTCCTTTGTTGCCTTGGCCGTGTGTTTTGGGTCATTGTCATGCTGGAATACCCATCCACGACCCATTTTCAATGCCCTGGCTGAGGGAAGGAGGTTCTCACCCAAGATTTGACGGTACATGGCCCCGTCCATCGTCCCTTTGATGCGGTGAAGTTGTCCTGTCCCCTTAGCAGAAAAACACCCCCAAAGCAATGTTTCCACCTCCATGTTTGACGGTGGGGATGGTGTTCTTGGGGTCATAGGCAGCATTCCTCCTCCTCCAAACACGGCGAGTTGAGTTGATGCCAAAGAGCTCAGTTTTGGTCTCATCTGACCACAACACTTTCACCCAGTTCTCCTCTGAATCATTCAGATGTTCATTGGCAAACTTCAGACGGCCCTGTATATGTGCTTTCTTGAGCAGGGGGACCTTGCGGGCGCTGCAGGATTTCAGTCCTTCACGGCGTAGTGTGTTACCAATTGTTTTCTTGGTGACTATGGTCCCAGCTGCCTTGAGATCATTGACAAGAACCTCCCATGTAGTTCTGGGATGATTCCTCACCGTTCTCATGATCATTGCAATGCCACGAGGTGAGATCTTGCATGGAGCCCCAGGCAGAGGGAGATTGACAGTTCTTTTGTGTTTCTTCCATTTGCGAATAATCGCACCAACTGTTGTGGTCCTCTGTAGCTCAGCTGGTAGAGCACGGCGCTTGTAACGCCAAGGTAGTGGGTTCGATCCCCGGGACCACCCATACACAAAAATGTATGCACGCATGACTGTAAGTCACTTTGGATAAAAGCGTCTGCTAAATGGCATATTATTATTATTATTATTGTCACCTGCTTGGCGATGGTCTTGTAGCCCATTCCAGCCTTGTGTAGGTCTACAATCTTGTCCCTGACATCCTTGGAGAGCTCTTTGGTCTTGGCCATTGTGGAGAGTTTGGAATCTGATTGATTGATTGCTTCTGTGGACAGGTGTCTTTTATACAGGTAACAAGCTGAGATTAGGGGCACTCCCTTTAAGAGTGTGCTCCTAATCTCAGCTCGTTACCTGTATAAAAGACACCTGGGAGCCAGAAATCTTTCTGATTGAGAGGGGGTCAAATACTTATTGCCCTCATTAAAATGCAAATCAATTTATAACATTTTTGACATGCGTTTTTCTGGATTTTGTTGTTGTTATTTTGTCTCTCACTGTTCAAATACACCTACCATTAAAATTATAGACTGATCATTTCTTTGTCAGTGGGCAAACGTACAAAATCAGCAGGGGATCAAATACTTTTTTCCCTCACTGTAGGTACTAACCCTCAGCAAGCCTTTCCTTCCAGCTCTGGGAGGCGTGAGTGAAGAATTCATTGTTGAGAGCAGAGTTACTGAGGCGAGCCAGACCGTCAGGTCCCACCTAGAGAAGAGGGAAGACAGGACAGAACATACTGGGTTACATTCACAGACATAGGGCTGTACGAGAAATCCAAAAAACTATATGGTACTAAGAAATTATGAGACATTATGGGCTGGACTAAAAAGGCACACTCCAATAGAGAATCTCCATAGAAAAATATTTTTAGTCCAGGGAAAGGTTTAACCTGGGTCCGGGAAACTGTCCTTGAGAGTTATAAATTATGACTATGATTATAAATGATGAGCACGCCCCCTCACCTGGCGGTCGACCTCGGGGAGGAGCTGCAGGAGTTGATGTTGGGAGTGGGCTGGGAAGGCAGAGAAGGTGCGCATGTTGATGAGAGCCCTGATGTTGGTGTTGACCAGGATGGAGCCGGGCGTCTCAAAGTCCACCTCCACCCCGCCTCGGCTCCTCTTCATGGGCCCTGCAGACAAACACAACCACAGGCCCGCAACTGGCTAATGCTATCCAATGGATATGGGTTTAAATTCATTAATTCAACTAACAGCAAGCACAGCGTGGCCGTTCCATTGCCAGCCAATACAACTCCAGTTAAGAGCCAGTCATTCAGGCGTTTAGTTTAGCAGCCAGCACAATCACAACAGCTATCAGTCAGTGAGCGGTTAAGTATGTCCTGGCCGGGTGGCCAATGTTGGGATAGCTAGCCGACCCTGGCATTCAGTTAGCAACCTGCAAAGCACTGCTGTTCAGTTAGCATTAGTGACCAATGCAACCCTGACAATGTTAGCGACCAGCGTACCATTGGTTAGCTACCAAATCACCCTGTCAGTCTGAGATTGAGCCAAAGTCCAGGTTTGGTGCTTATTCGTAGACAGCTGACCTGTGTAGAATCTGAGACATACATCTAATAGTTCTACAGATTGTGTACTATGTCCAGATTATGTTGTTTAACCTCTTCATTTGTGACAGCTAAAATCATAAGATATACAGATTTGTCAAATTATTTACAGTTCAGGTTCCATCAGGCATATCTCTTTGCCAAAGGTGTCCTGAACAATGATGAAAGAAAAATAAAACTGGGTTACAACTGGGAGAGGTAGGTTGGTGTTTTAGGGTTTACTGGAGGGAGTTTGGTTGGGTTGGTGGGCTTGATTATACCCGGGTCTAACCCCTGTACCTGAGTGGTAGCCACGCAAGCTCTTGAAGTGCTGGGGGCGTTTCCAGCTAGCCAGCTCGGGGCGGGCACGGAGCGTGGGGCCTGGACCCCCCCTAGAGCCTTCCCTGCGCCTCCCCGCTGCTCCTGAGGGGGAGAGGTGGGGGGAGGGGGAGCCTGGTGAGACACTCCGGTCAGGTGTGTGAGGGGGGGGGGGGGGGACTTACGAGCGGGAAGGCGGGGGTGGGCAGGTCAGGCAGACAAGCCAAAAGTGGGGGCAGCAGAGCCCATAGCACGGGGTGGGGTGGGGGGATTGGGAGGGGTGAGTAGTACAGACACAAAGCAAGGGGAGCAATTACCCAGGCCCACATTGACACAGAGAGAGGAGGTTGGAGGGTAGGGTGGAGCAGAAATCTCAGAAAGTGCTCCCCCCACCTCATACAGAGCAATTTGGTTTACTGGGCAGCTAAATGTAAGGCGGGAGGGAAGGACTGATATGAGACTGGAATTTCCAGGTGCACACAAAAATAAGCAGGGAGGACAGATATTGAAGTTGCACTCAGACAATGAGTGGCTAGGAGGGTTATTCTGCACGCAGAGACTGGCAGACAATCAGCCACAAGAGGGGAGGGTTTCAGGGGAACGTCAGAATGAGAGAAAGACTCTGGGTGCACACGAGGAGCACGGTCAAAACTGCACACAGGTCACATTTCAGTCAACACGGCACCTGCAGGAACACTAGCCATTCCTACACTTTCTTCCCATAGATAGTACTAAAACAGTTTAAAGGCCATTAACAGACAGGTGTTTTTGTTACCCAGAGGTTACTGAGTAACCTGAAGAGCTCTGAGAGGTTACAGTCTAAGAAGGCTGCTGAAAAAGTAAATATGCAACACATAAATAAAAAGACTGGCAAAGCAGTAGAGGCCAATGCTGGGTGAGAAATGGTCCAAGACCACCGTAGGAATATGACTTAGAGGTGTGTGTGTGTGTGTAATGCTACAAATGGAAGAGTGTGTGTGTGTGTGTGTGTGTACAGAGAGATGGGTTTAGGGTAGCAAAGGGGCTAGCAGAGAGAAGTGCTAACCTGATGGGACGTGTTCACCATTGACCTTGAGTGGAGTGAGGACCACACGCGGCATCATCACAGCCTTCTTCCTCTGTCTGCTCGACTGCAGCGAAGGAGAGAAACGGACATTGTGAGAGGTAATAGAATGCGGAGGTTATCACTAAGCCAGACATAAAGGGGAACTTCAATCCGCAATCATTTTCTATGCATCTAGTACTCATAAAAACCTCTTCAGACTCGATCTATGCACACTATGAGCAACCACCTATAATATCCCTATTGAGCAACAGTACACAGACAGCCAGGTTGGGAGGGGAGGGGAGGGGGAGTGAGGGGGGGGTAAAGCGTACCTGTCTGGATCGACTTAGTCGGGTCTGTGCCTGGGCCTCGGAGCGCACCTGTCCAGAGACTCCAGATCTACTCAGCCTGGTCTGGGGCTCTGTGGAGCAGGAGGCACTGGACGAGCTCTCATCTACGGACGCTGTGAGGGGTAGAGGGGGCTATGGTCAGATACCAAATTGTTATATCTTTACTGGGTTCCAAATGGCTTAGTTGATGATAAATGGTCCATGGACCACAAACACTGACAATGCTTTTCACACTGCACATGTTTTGGTTTCCGTTATCACAATTGGTGATGGTGTGTTTATCATCTAGCACTTTTCAGCCATGTACTCAGATAAACGGGAGCTCCCACACAAACCCAAACAAATGTTTATCTTTAAAATAAACACACACACACACACAGATCTAGGCCACGGTTGGCAGTTTCATGTGCACCCGTAACCATGGCAACAAACATCCTAAGAAGAATAAAAAATGTATGTCTCTGCTTTGCAGTTGTTTAAAAGCACTTCAATTCATTCTATCGTGGGCTTGCTCTTTCCGCCTTTATCACGATAATATTCCTGTGTTGTTTTCAAAGTGCCTTTTAACAGGGCAGTCACAGTGCTTAATAAAGACCAGGGATGTAGTGGTAAAAACAAATGGTGGATAAACTGTAAAAGGGCGGTTGATAAGATGGGCGGTGAGTAATGTAAACTCCAACAATGCTAATTTACAGTAAAAGTAAACACCAAATAAAAAAGGGCATTTACGTGTGTTTACCCTCCACTAAATTATCACTGATGAAGGCATGTGGTGATCACAACCATACACACCATCGTTCTCTCCACTGGCCGCAACCATTTCCATGGAGTCACAGCTCTCTTGCTCCGCACCTTCCGTTGGCCCTGCTGTTGCCGTGGTAGCGGTAGCCGGTGTGGTGGCTTCGGCTGTCTCCGCCTCTGTCGAACTCTTGGTCCACTGCAGAGCGTTCTTCTGCAGAGGGACAGTCAGAAGAGAGATTCCTATCAGAAACATGTATGTGTGTATTCCAGATATGGGTTTGTATGAGGTTTATTAGGGGTAGGGATAAGAGGGGTGTGCGTGTTTGAGGTATGGGTGTGTGGAGTGGGCTGGTTCCATACCTTCAAGGTAAACAGACTCATCCTGCCAGGAAGCTTAAAGAAGATGCTGTTTTTCACTCTGTCCCCCCTCACCTGGGAGTGCAGCATGGTCACCAGACAGGCCAGAGGGGCTGTGCCACTGATGGACAGAGGAGAGAGAGGGAGAGAGACAGGGTGGGGGGATAGAGAAAGAGAGAAGATGAGTGTGAGAAGCAGAACAATACTATGGTATTCAAAGAGACAGCTAAACATAAAATTGAAATATTGTCCCTTTGTTCTTGTGCCATCTTACCTTCTGTTTTTGTTGAGCATATTGTGGATCGGGCCAGGTAGAGATCATGGAGGAATGGTGAAAAATGTGAGTCTGAGTTAGAAACATTCCTTTCTCATGGATATTCTCACAACATATTGACTTATTTTACATAAACACAAGCGATACTATTCTTGGTTTTGTTGCTGGTATGCATTACCATAGAGATGGACTTTAAGGGTATAAAGGTATAATGCGATATTCTGGCATTCAAGGCCTTGTTCTACTTACCCAGAGTCAGATGAAATTGTGGATACCATGTGTATGTCTCTGCGTGCAGTATGCTACTGTAGCATTGCTACTGTACCTGTAGACTTCCAGTCACTGCGCTAACGCGAGTTAGCATTGGCTCGCAAAACTACCACTAACTTCCTTCATACTGCCCGCAGAGACATAAAATGGTATCCACAAGTTCATCTGATTCTGGGTAAGTGGTAGAACAAGGGCTTAAATGCCAGAATCTCGCATTATCCCTTTAATTAAGTGTATGTGGTGGTTGCTTACCTCATTTCCTTAAGCCCCTTTGTCTGTATAACGTGCAGGATCTGCTTGGGCGTCATGGGGGCATCAGAGAAGTTCTCTAGAACCTGGAAAACATTACAGTCAGTCATGAACATGTTATAGCCCACACACACAGAATTTAAGATATACCTCCAACTATACAACTGTACCATACATCCAGTAAGTGAATACAGCAGCTTCAGAAATAGGTGAAAAAAGGCAACACAATGTGAACTCCATACCTTATGAATGTAAGACTCACAAAAGGCAGTGTATAAAACCAGCGTCCATTTATTAAAATGTTTAAAAACGCCTGAGTTCACCACTCAAGCTTTGTCAGCAGAAAGCGTATGGCTTTAATATCCACTAAGACAGTGAAATAGCACACAACACAGAATACACCCACAACTAGGCCTATCCCTCTAGGAGAACCAATTAATTTAAACGTACCCTAACATTTGAATCAGTGATGAGTGGTAAAAAAAATAGGTGGGTAAACGTTGATTGCCAGCCATGGTGAAAAAAGTTACGCTCCCTATACTTTCAATGCATTTTTACGCAGAAGCTGGGTAAACACTCGGCAAAATAAAAAGGTGCGTAAACAGTGTTTATCCTCCACTACACAACTAATTATAATAAAGTGACATCACTACATAGCCTAGCAGCATCGGTGGTTTTAAATGCCATCTCCACTTACCTAAAAATACAGTGAATTATTGATTAATTGCCATTAATAAAGACCAGAGATAGATAGGTGCTTGAGGTTGTGAGATCAATCCAGCGCCTCTCCGTGTGTCATCATGACAGGATGCATGAGAAGGAACAATACATAATACAGACTGGGTAGTAGAGCACTGCTTTATATTAACCCAAGGACACACGTGCAGGAAATTTGACGGAGAGGAAGGGTATTTCGGTCAGGGAGACAAGCAGACAAAGTCAACTCCAAACACAACAAATGCACACTGACAACACAGGCGCACACTAAAGATGCACATCACAATAGAGCAACAGTATGCACCATGATTCGGTGAGGCGTTGATTACAGAATGCTAAGACGTGGCAATCAATGTAACAATTCTGTTGTCCTTGTCCACGCAGAAAAAGGAAACTGAAAACTGTCCCTGAGGAACTCAAGGGGCCAGATGGTGGATAAGTTAGACCTATCAGGGTCATGCATGGAGAAAACCCATCACACACCACTACCAAACTCCAGATGAATGCCATGGCAGATAGGCCTATCTGCATTAAGTTAAAATAATGTATTTGGAACTGGTAAACTAGCCTAAGGTACTGTGCTTATGGTTGTCTAGGCAACATGACATTGTTGGTAAGATTATGAAAAGTGTCTTGATGGTTCTCCTTTTTTGTATGTGGTGTTAATCAACCCTAAATGGATTTGTTCCATATGGTGAATTGGGTGCAGTCGAAGCGTGTGCCCCTATCCTCGTTGAAGATACAACCATGTGTGTCCACTGGCACAAGTTCACACCGGCCCATCCCCATTTATCTGAATGTGTGAGTGTGCAAGCTAGGTATGTGTGTTTCACTAGCGGTTCTCAAACCACGCTTGAAAGGGTCCTTTTTTTAACACTAATCGGTCTGTTACTCCAGTATGCCTCAGAGAATGAGGAGAAGCTACCATGGCATAGCACAAGTTTCAGAAGTCACTGGACTCGCCTAACCTATGAATATTGTTTAAGCTCCCCAAAAGCTAGCCTAGCCAACACATTCTCACCACAAGGATCTGCAGTGACATATGGGCCTGGGTTTATAAATAAATGCATTCCCCACACAGTGAAAACCAAAAATGGCACTGAGCTATGTAGCGCTGCTGTGGCGTGCATGGATGCTGATAGGCAGGGAACAGAAAAGTAGAGTCTGGCAACAGATCAGAGCCCCACCCTAAAATGTGTCCCTGTTACATTTAAGTAACTTCCACACCCATATTAGAAAGGAGAAATTAGCCGAAGTTGAACTATAATGCATCTGCAGTATGCATGCACAATATAAAACATGGTAGGCTTTATAGCTATGCGAACTGAATAAAACGTGTCATTAACTGCATCCAGTTCAAGATCCTCAAGAAACACCAATGATACTGCTATACAACGCAGCCTCGTCTGGCAGTTGAGTCGCAGAAGGGGTCTGCCTACCATTGAAATTAATGGACTGTTGCCGGATGCAGCCCATTTATAGCAGTAAATGGGCACTGTGTGTTAGGGCTCTGCATAACTACACAATGTAGGTGCCTGATTATCCTACTCAGCATCAAGACACAGCTCTGAGTGTCAACCTCATGACATTCCCAATCCTATATCCTTTTTACACACACACACACACACAATTTTAATCCAAGTACTCTCTGATACAACAAATTATTTCATCTACCTCATATAGTAGACCTGTATATTTAGACCACTCTACAAAGCATAGAGAATAGGGTGTCTTGTTGAGGAAGAAACCATAATGGGAAACTGAATTACAATAAAATGTTGCAATGATCATTGAAGAAAGCCAAAAGCACACTTGCATTACACAAGAACACAGACATGATTTGTATACCATTAGGTAGTAACGTTAGCTGGTAACCTACAAGCAAATTCTTAGCTGGCTTATTTATCAACATGGCTAAATAAAAACATTTACATACATACAGCCGCTTAGCTATCCAATAACCATGATGATAGCTACATAAAGACGGCTTTACCCATCTTTTTATTTGGTCGTAGCTAGCTACCACCTAGATAACATTAACTAAGGCTGGAGGTAGTATTCCCCTGACCCTTGCTCTGACCATAACCACAGAGGGGCCTGGCTAAATGTGTTAAAATACGAGCAGACAGTGGAATTAACGTTAGCTTGGGTGGATAACTCTGAAATAGATCTTTGTTTACATGTTCAATGAATGGTGGTCCTACTGGTAGTCTGGCTAACTTACCAATACAGTTGGTTATGCTAACTCGCTAGCTAGCAAACAAAGGGTCAAACTGGAAGGCAGACGTACCCGTATGTTAGCTATGCTCCTGTCAACAATGAACATTATTTTAGCTACAACCAGAGCCATCTAAATACATGACTCTGGCCACAACCACACGTGGAATGACTAACGTTAAGCATATGAATAACAAAGGTATTTCGTTATCAGGGGCTCAATGCATTTACTAATTAAATTGTTAACATGCTGGCGATTTAGCTACGTTAATGTTGGAGATTATCCGAGCACTCCCTGCTAGCTAACGTGCAGTGCCAACCAGACAGCCCAGGCTCCGACCAATCTTAGTTCGGTTGATGAGTGTTGTTCGTCTTCGCTGTCAGTACATTAGCTAGCTACTATATTACAACTAATGATAGCATTACCATGCGAGCCGCCTCAGCCCACGTGCGTTCCTTCTTTCTCTTCTGTTTGTCCTTCATTTCCTCCCCTCTAGTAGCTAGCTAGTTATCAGTTGCGTATCCAGCAGCAGCTAGCTTCCTATCAAGCTAAATACGGTCGGTGGATCAGGAAACCCCGAACTAGCAAGCTAACGTTAGCTGAGCTGTTTCTCTCCGTTTCGCTAGCCTTCCCACCACGTAGTTGCTCGTTCTCTCGCTCGTCTGGTGCTTGGTAGGCACGCCCCTTGTTGAGCTAATTCATTTAGCTATATAAACTATGATTGTTCTGCGTTAGTGCACGGTCAAGCGCCTGAATGCTAGTAAGAAGCTAGCTAGCTAGCTAGCTAGTAAACACATACGGGGGCGCAGTAACGAGCGAGCGCCTCTCGTCTTGAAGCTACTACCACAGAGTTTCTAAACCCGGAGGGCCCAACATCGCGATACTTCCCAAGATTCGACCGATAGCTCAGTGGACTCAACAGACCAGACGGGGGTTTGGGAAGTAAATGAGAGAAGTGGACAATTCTTCCTTAATTGTTCGTTTTCTGAAGGCACAACTTTAGATTCGAGCCAATGTCTTAAGTAGCTGATTGTGTTATTACTTCAACCTCGTGAACGTGACAAACTGACACGTTTTAATTTTCGTCAAAAACAACTTTATATAGATGGACCGTTAGACCCGATGACGCGTTTCTGCGCATGAGCTTAGCTAGCTAACGTCGCATACTAAACCATATTTTGGAATTATTAGGGGTTCACAGGGAAGCTGTGAAACCTATTGTTTTTCTCTCATGTATTATTTTTCTTTACATGGTCAAATAACGAAAGCATAAATGTTTTCTAAATTGGCACAAAGAAACTAGGGACCATGTAATTTGGTATTGATATCTAAAAAAACAAGGAAACTATTAACAACTCATGTAATGCTTATGCTCAAAATCATCTGCAATCATCTTCTCCTTTAATTGTTTGAGAAAAAGTAGGTGCTGCATTCAAATATGTCCACACTGTACCTATAGACGCATGTTAGCACATATGCTAATGCTCAAAATACTTAAAAAAATCCCCACTGGGCACAGACGTCATTTCAACGTCTAGTTTTGATTTACATTTGGTTGAGTTTTCAACTAACGTGAATTCAAGCAACGTGAAATGTCATTGGCTGTACTGTAGGTTAAAATGCCCTTACGTTGATGACTTTTTGCAAATCCAATCAGTTTCCCACGTTGATTCAACGTCATCACATTATTATTATTATTATTATTTTTATTTTTTTGGGGGGGGGGTTAAAATGACGTGGAAACAATGTTGATTCAACCAATTTTTGCCCAGTGGGTCACTTTGGAATGCAAGGCTGAGAGAACACAACAACGAGGTCAAGGGTCAAAACACACTGCAGGAATGAAACACAAAACAACTCTCCCTACCCCCTCTCTCTCTAGTCACTCTACAAACCAACGCTAGTGGGAGAGAATTGACGGAGAACAAGTCATTGTGGCTGTACTATCTGCAAAATGAGCCACAATCAGTGCTTGACTTGGACTGAAATAGGTGCTGGTACTCATTTTGGGTGCCGATACTGTTTATACACTGCTCAAAAAAATAAAGGGAACACTAAAATAACACATCCTAGATCTGAATGAATGAAATAATCTTATTAAATACTTTTTTCTTTACATAGTTGAATGTGCTGACAACAAAATCACACAAAAATTATCAATGGAAATCAAATTTATCAACCCATGGAGGTCTGGATTTGGAGTCACCCTCAATATTAAAGTGGAAAACCACACTACAGGCTGATCCAACTTTGATGTAATGTCCTTAAAACAAGTCAAAATGAGGCTCAGTAGTGTGTGTGGCCTCCACGTGCCTGTATGACCTCCCTACAACGCCTGGGCATGCTCCTGATGAGGTGGCGGATGGTCTCCTGAGGGATCTCCTCCCAGACCTGGACTAAAGCATCCGCCAACTCCTGGACAGTCTGTGGTGCAACGTGGCGTTGGTGGATGGAGCGAGACATGATGTCCCAGATGTGCTCAATTGGATTCAGGTCTGGGGAACGGGCGGGCCAGTCCATAGCATCAATGCCTTCCTCTTGCAGGAACTGCTGACACACTCCAGCCACATGAGGTCTAGCATTGTCTTGCATTAGGAGGAACCCAGGGCCAACCGCACCAGCATATGGTCTCACAAGGGGTCTGAGGATCTCATCTCGGTACCTAATGGCAGTCAAGCTACCTCTGGCGAGCACATGGAGGGCTGTGCGGCCCCCCAAAGAAATGCCACCCCACACCATGACTGACCCACCGCCAAACCGGTCATGCTGGAGGATGTTGCAGGCAGCAGAACGTTCTCCACGGCGTCTCCAGACTCTGTCACGTCTGTCACATGTGCTCAGTGTGAACCTGCTTTCATCTGTGAAGAGCACAGGGCGCCAGTGGCGAATTTGCCAATCTTGGTGTTCTCTGGCAAATGCCAAATGTCCTGCACGGTGTTGGGCTGTAAGCACAACCCCCACCTGTGGACGTCGGGCCCTCACACCACCCTCATGGAGTCTGTTTCTGACCGTTTGAGCAGACACATGCACATTTGTGGCCTGCTGGAGGTCATTTTGCAGGGCTCTGGCAGTGCTCCTCCTGCTCCTCCTTGCACAAAGGCGGAGGTAGCAGTCCTGCTGCTGGGTTGTTGCCCTCCTACGGCCTCCTCCACGTCTCCTGATGTACTGGCCTGTCTCCTGGTAGCGCCTCCATGCTCTGGACACTACGCTGACAGGCACAGCAAACCTTCTTGCCACAGCTCGCATTGATGTGCCATCCTGGATGAGCTGCACTACCTGAGCCACTTGGGTGGGTTGTAGACTCTGTCTCATGCTACCACTAGAGTGAAAGCACCGCCAGCATTCAAAAGTGACCAAAACATCAGCCAGGAAGCATAGGAACTGAGAAGTGGTCTGTGATCACCACCTGCAAAACCAGTCCTTTATTGGGGGTGTCTTGCTAATTGCCTATAATTTCCACCTGTTGTCTATTCCATTTGCACAACAGCATGTGAAATGTATTGTTAATCAGTGTTGCTTCCTAAGTGGACAGTTTGATTTCACAGAAGTGTGATTGACTTGGAGTTACATTGTGTTGTTTAAATGTTCCCTTTATTTTTTTGAGCAGTGTATATAGATGCAGGAGGTCCACAATACTTTTGAGCTAATATTCTCTAAGAGGAACAGGAGCTCAAGCAGTAGAACATTTGAGGTGCCAGTACTCAGCTCCGGTGAGCTCCTGCCCAAGGCAAGCACTGGCCACAATGGCATCAACATGTACCCTGCCCATAGACAAACCTGCCAGAGATCAACCTGAAGGAAAACATGGAGAGGAAAAATCTGATACCACCGCTGTGGGCACAGACGTCAATTCAATGTATATTCCACAATGGTTCAACTTAATTTCATTGAAATGACATGGAATCAACGTTTATTCAACCAGTGTGTGCCCAGTGGGACATTCTGTTTTGAGATAACAAATTGCAAGAAAAAATAAGATTTTTCTAGGCTACTATTTAATTACATAAGACATAAGGGAACATAATGACATCGACTACAGTGTTTAGATAAAAGCGTAGGGCTAGCCATAGTTTCCATTGATGGTCCAGTGCTCTAGTTTGCTTGGGGTGTGCAGCACTGTTCAAATGACAGTGGAAAAGGCCTGTGTCTGTGTCAGCATTAACTGCCTGTTTATTAGCACAAACAAACATTGGGGTAAGGGGCGAATAAAATAATGTTGGTTATTATCGAACAAAGTCTGATTATAGTCTGTAATAAATAGAGTACTAGTCATTATGATTTCCCATACCTCCAAATCAAATCACACAGAGAACATCCACATTAATAGAATAGGTACAATCTATAATTTCAACAGCCTGATCCTGCCACATTGTTTGGTGAACTGAGGAATGGGGCTGGGGAAATGTAACCACACATTTTGCAGATGGAGCTATGAACGCAAACCTGGACAGACAGTCTGTGAGATTGACATGATATAGTTTGAAGCTATTGGTACAAGACAAATGACAAAAACTTGAACAGTAGGGTATGCAACCTTACTCCACAACCAATGCAACATAAATCCATGTTGCAAACAGTTCCTCAATGAAGAAACTGTTTGGAACATGGATTAAGGATGCATTAGGATTTTTGGTCATCCTGAGTCCTGACCAGAACCAGAACCAGATTATGAGCAGAAAATCTGATGGAAAAGACGACGAGGATCTTCTCCTCGTAACGGTCTTAAGTGAGTCCGCTCTCTCCATCATCCTCTCTTCTTATATAGCGTCATGATGTGGGGCCCATATGGCCATCCGCTTTTGTTTTTTGGGAGTACAACACCTTCAAAACAGTTTTAGTATATGCAATGATGTTATGGAAAGATTTTTTCCAAGTTTTAAAATATTGTCCCATATCTTAAGGTTTAATATGAGGTATTGCATGCTAGGTCGCTCAGTGTAGGTGAACCGTTTTTAGCTAGCAACCCCTGCAAAAGTTTGTCAAAAAGTGGTGTCTGACGTCACACTCCCATAATGCAAGCGCTCTGCAACTCTAGCGCCGCGGAAGCAAAACCCAGGGCCCGAAAATAATACAACTTTTAAAAATTGGAAAAATAGTTTTACAAAACATCTGAGAGAAAAGGACCAAGAACTGAATCGCGAAAGTTTTAAAGGTACGTTTACGCCAGTTTTCAACGGAAAGGTCCCAAATATACGCCTGCCAGGCTGATAGTAAAAATCGACTCAAACCGATCAAATTCGGTGACATGAACTTGCTGAATTTCTTTGGCACTTTTCAAATAGTAGTGCAATATGTATATTTATTTTCATTACTTTATGTAATTAAGAAAAGCATAACTGTTTTGTTAGCGCTCATCACATTGTATTTCAGAACACAAACGTTTTAATTAAAAAAAAAATAATGTTATCATCACGTCCTTATTTTCGTATTACGTCTCCCCATTAAATATTTTTCAATCATTGATCATGAATTACACGAGGCCCATTTATTGAGTTAAGTTCAGTTTACTTTGTATTTTTAAGTTACTACGTGAATATGTTTTTGTGTTTTTTTTACTTCATATACATGCTGATCAGCGCGAGTTGATGAACCATATGTTCGTTATATATAGACTTTTGATTCGTTTCCAAGTGAAACTCCCATACCTTGCTTTACATTGTTCAGATCAGTGTCTTTTGTACAGTGGCCCCATCAAATTATATAAAAATGATAATTTTCTAATATAGAATACATTGCTCATATCATGCCACCCAGGTTTCACTTGATGACACTATCTATGGCCCGAATATTGATCTGCAGCACTTGCACAATTAGCCTAACCATAGTAAATCCTCAATTGAAAAAGCCAAGTAATATTTTTTTTTATATTACAGTATTGTTAAAGTTTTCCTTATTTCACGTGTAATCACAAAAACAGCTCAACTCCATTACTTTAAAATGTCAAAGTAATTACTAAAGTTCTATGTAATAAAAGTGTTACTACCAATGATGTATAGTTATGGTTATTACACAGGTATAGGGACAAATCATGTAAAGTGCATTGCTTTGGATGGGTGCTATACATGGGGTGTGTCCGGCGTCAACTTGACCCTGGTAATTTCATCACACAACAACTTTAGGCTGATCTTAACCATGTGCTTGTTTGTGCTTCTTTATAGGACTGTGGTCATGCAAAACTGCAACTCACATTCAACCGCTCCTCTGGCTGGTGTGGCTGGATGAGACAGGGAGAAGAAGCACACAACTTTGGGCCTTACCCAAGAATTACCCTGCGGAGACACGCACACATACACACAAAATAACATAAAACTCACACAAGCTCAGGGATGCTCACCCATATCCAGTCCGAGCCTTAATGGCTGAGTGAGTGACTCTGCTCTCATTGCCCTGGCCCTATTGGGTTGCTATGGCAGCTGCTGCTGCAGAACCCCCCCATCTGATAGAAGCTCGCACTGGAAAGGGAGACAGGCGGACAGACCCTCGCCTGGAGAGAATACGAAACACTCCACTAGCAGCATTCAGCAGCACTCAACACCCTACTCTCCATTAACGGTGCAGCCAAGCCTGTCAAGTTTGAAGGTCCTCTCTTAAAATACCCCATATGAGTGTTTTGTCCGTCTACTCATGCTTATGGCCCGTCGCCCTCTGCAGAAGACCCAGCGCCGTTCCCTCTACTAGAGGATGTTCCAACAGAAGGAGCACCTGAAGAGCCACCTGCAGGCCCACGACGCCAACAGGCATGTGTTCCACTGCCAGGAGTGTGGCAAACAGTACAGCACTCAGTTGGGCTACCGGCGCCACCTGCTGGCCACCCACGCCCCTGCCCCCAGCGCCACCCTCCCTGGGGAGCTCCTTTGCCAGGAGGGGGCGCCTGCCCTGCTGGAGCAGCTGGGGAGCCACACCGACAGGCTTCCGCCACTGGAGGGTACCGCCACCGTCAGGGAGAGGAAGTATTCGTGCGAGCGCTGCGACCGGCGCTTCTACACCCGCAAGGATGTGCGGCGCCATGCGGTGGTGCACACAGGGCGCCGTGACTTTCTGTGCCCGCGCTGCGCCCAGCGCTTTGGTCGAAGAGACCATCTGACGCGCCACTTGAAGAAGAGCCACGTCCAGGAGCCCACCCCCACCACCCCCACACCTGCCCCCACCACACCTGGGCCTGTAAAGGAGGAGCCAAGTCCGGTGCAATGCGGCATGGGGCCCTCCTCCAAGGAGCATGTAGAGGCCTTCCCCATTGACATGTACAGCAGCTACCCCCTGCAGACCATGTCCAATCCAGGCATGGGCCACCAACATCACTCCCTCATGCAGGGCTCCCTGTCCACGGCCATGGGGGTGGGTCGCCACATGCCAGGTCCCTCTCCCCATCCCCATCCCCACCACCACCTCCCCCAGCAGCAACAGCAGCCTTATGGCCACATGGCCAGGTACCAGCATGGATCTACCTCATATCCCCGCACTGACATGGAGAGCTTCCTAATGGACCTGCAGAGCGGGCTGCCCCCACACCTGACCACAGCCTCCTCCTCTACCTCCGCCTCCCCTCAGAGGGAGGTGCTTTCAGAAGCCCAGGGTGGCCCAGGGGCCGGTGACCCCCACCTTCTGTCCAGGAGCCCCGCTCTCTCCTCAGCCGAGCTGTCGTGCGCTGCTAACATGGACCTGGGTCCTCTTCTGGGCTTCTTGCCGTTCAGCCTGCCTCCCTACAGTGCTCATATGAGTATGGGAGGTCTGGTGATGGGCTACCCCTCTACCTCTACCTCCACTGTGCCGCCCTCCTCCTCCAGCCCTCTACCCTATCAGGCCCCAGGAGGTCTCACCTTCCTGCAGCCCCCACAACTTCACGCACCCCAGGGCCCTGGAGCCCACAACCACAACAACAACCAGCTACCTCAGGGGTTCAGCAACCCTGGAATGAGCACTTCCACCTCCCTACCTCGCTACTACCAGGCCTTTCAACAGTGAGCAGCCTGATACCATGTGACCCACGTGACCCAAACACCAGGCCAAGGGACACCCCAAATAGTCTTGAATAAAGCCTCCCATAAAGGGCGAGTGTCTAGAAAGACTTGAATACACAAGTGATACATAGAGGCTTCCAATGTGCTTGCATTTATTTTTTTTATGGAAAAAATGGGAATTTCATTTTTTAAAATGATGCTAATTAAGCTTTCAGTGGCAATACTTTTTGTTATGATGATGTCGAACACAAAGAACCACTTCATCAGTATTACCTCCTCCGATAATAAGAAACTTGAGCAGAAGGAGAAAAGGGAGTGTCTTTTAGCAACCAAAATGTAGTTTTATTGAAACCTGTTAGAAATAGGCCAAATGGTTGCACTTTGTTCAGGAAAGACCGCATCAGGTCTATACAATGTGGACATAAGTGCTACATGACACCTGCCACTCATCTTGTTTTCCAATAATGTGAGTCACTTTTATGACAATGGTCATGTTAGATATTTAACAGCAGTTTGCGTAAAAGTGTACTTGTGTTATCATGTTCTGCTTATTTATACAAAAACTAGAGACGTTTGATTTAAGTTCTTTTAAAGCAGTTATCCAAACCTCTCTTCCAGTACCCCCATTCCAATTATTTGGTCTGTTCCAGACAGTATTAGCACACCTGATTTAAGTAATCAAGAGCTTGATTATTAGTTGACCAGTTCAATCAGCTGTGCTTGTTCTGGAATATACCAAATAGGTGGAATGGCAGGGGGTACTTGAGAGGTTTGTCAAACACTGCTTTAGAGAGTGTTACTGAAATAGGTTTCATATTACTGCATATCATTGACTGTATCCTGTATTCAGTGAAATGTTGCACCGATGTCTTTAAAAAATGCTACTGTTGTGCCTCTTGGGTGTCTACTCTCTTGACTGGGTTTAAGCACTTAAGACATTACGAAAGGATAGAATTGATGTCTTATGAAATGTTTTGTTCCTTTTACCTCAACAACATGCTCTCCTAGATGAACAGATAAATACAGTACTCTGTCCTGTGGGGTTAGGGTATAACCTTTTAATCTATTTCCTAGTTACTTTGGCTCTAACTTGTGCCATTAGATCTAAAGTGAAAATGTAGATTTTATTAATCAAATTGCTTGTTTTGTTTAGATACAACAGACAGTGACATTGATTGACCCATAAACATTCTACCTCTATCTTATCCTATTACAGTACCAGTTCTTTTTCTTGGCGTGGAGGTAACTGTTATGTAAAAATGTAACAAGAAATCGAACAATCAGTACGGAATAACATCTCTCCTCCTTGAACATCGTTGTCTCTTTTACCAGTACTTATGTAATGTATCCTCTCCTGATATGTAGAGGTCAGTTCCTCCACGCCCATGATGATTGTATACTTGTTGGCAGCGTTTTAGACTGACTACATTGCAGACGCCTGCCAGATCTCACAACACCTGGATAGGTGTTTAACATATCAGCTAACCACATCATATGATATAGCAATCTGAGGCCCGACTGCGCAGTCGATTAAGTAGCATGCAACCATTGGTTGATGCAATGCAACTGTCTGAAATGTAGACAGCCTGGAACGCGTCCTTTGACTACCTCAGAAAAGAGCAACTTGTTACTTTTCATATAATTACAGAGAAAACATTTGTGTAGAGTTTATTTTTGTCAGTTCAACGAACGCACACTTTATAGTAATAGATTTGTATTGAGGTTAGCTTAGCATATTGACAAAAGGATGTTAGCACAATAGTTAAGTTCCCATCATATTGTATTGAATGAGGATTCCATTGTATTCAATTGCATTGTTGCCTGCAGTAAAATTAGCTGGAAGCGTTACTAGAATGCAGGCATCACATCCTCGTTAGCTCTTAGGACAAGGCTCTAGCTGTTTGTTCCATCACCCTATAGAAGAAGATACAAAACAAGAATTGCTGAACTGCTCTTATCATATTATCTTTGAAGCATTTTCTTATTGTCTGAATGTAAACAATAAAGTACCTATTAGATTGGATTGGTTTCTCGTTATTTCACTATCAAACACATTTCCTCTATAGATGTAGTGTCATATGTTTTGGCATGAAATTGCTTCCATACATTTCCACACAAGAAAATACAAATATTAAAGTACAAAATTGCTGTTAATTTTCTGAGTCAAATTATGCTGTGTAGGCACTATTTATTCACACACTGTGGCCAGTTTATTTTAGACAGACAGACCATGACAAGAGTACCTTCTCTGACTGATTATGTGGGAGGTCTTTACTAGTATGCAGTTTGTCCAGCGGAGGTCAGTACAGGTTCACAGGGGGTGACATTGTAAGGCGCAGCATAGGTACTGTGTTAATAGGTGAGATTGTTACGTTGCTATAGGTACTGTATCCATATCCGTATCCAGAGAGGTCAGCTCCCCACCGCTGCTGATCTTCTTGAATCTGTTGGCTGCTGCTATCGCAATGTAGTTTTTCTGTCAATAAGCACAGAAGCACATTTACAACATACAGTGAGCAAGGCAGGAAGGTTGGATGCATCTGATCAACAATGGTTGGCCGGAAACAATTGACATGAAAGAGCTGATTGTAGTGCAAAGAGGATAAAACTGTTCCGTAATGTGAACAATGTGTCTTCCAACTACAAAATCAACTAAATGAACCACACTGTGTGGTGGAGGAAATATGTTGGACTGACCTTCCATAGTCTCTTGGCCAGGTATTTCTTCAGCAGGACCTGGGACTTCAGTACTATATTGCTGCCCTTGGCCTTCTCTGCAATGTTGTTGAGCCACGGATGTCTTAGACACTGTGCAGCACTCATTCGCCCTCTGGCCAAACAGGGAACAGGGTAGAAGTATAACTAATAAACTGTAATAATTATCAAAATCATGAGTGTTATGATTATTATTTCAGCTTTGGCCCTCACCCCCTCTCCTTGACCAGAAGGTGGGAGATAAAGTCCTTGGCCTCAGCTGAGATGTGCTCAAAGGCCTCGTCCTCAAAAGAACCGTTGGCAGAGAGGACGTTGTTGAGGGTCTGGCTATCATCGTCACCCAGGAAGGGTGAAAGGCCACTTAGACTGCGGAGGATGAGATGAAGGAAGTGACGCATGCACATACACAGGGACACAGGTCACAATTAAAAAGCATGCATGGTAGGGACATGGGGGGTGAATCATCACTTCCACTTAAGTCACATTTTTACTTAGTCATGCATTGATGTCAATGGGACACTAAGTAGAAATGTTACTTACGTGGAAGTAAGTTTGCCCCATACAACTTATGGTTTAACTAAGCTGTTAGGGAATATGAGGCTGGTATATTAGACTCACAGCATATAAGTGACGACCCCTAAGGTCCACATGTCTGTGGGGAAGGACACAAAGTCAAAGTTGACCACCTCTGGGGCCAGAAATTCAGGGGTTCCAAAATTTACTCGGAGCTTCTCCCGAGGCCTGTATCTGATTCCGAGGAAGAAAGAAAATTCATTTTCAAGGTTCTTTTTGAGAAAGCTGCTACCAATGCTCACAATAAAGCTTGCAAAGTCACACACACAGCTGAAGAGAGGCATTACCTTCTTGCCAGCCCAAAGTCGATAATCTTAACCTGATGGCCAGTGCGATTCACACAAAGGATATTCTCTGGCTGTAAACATCGGAGTGTGCAAATTCATTTGTATAAATTAACCATTGATTACTTTTCTCACAACAACACACATGGATACCTCTTTGAGTTATGGTGAGACTGACCACACTGTGCTTCAAGTAGTGATTAAAATGTGCCTGGCATTTGTGACGGTGGTGAGCCTTGAAATCTGGAATGCACATCCAGTCCACCATACTCACTTTCAGGTCGAGGTGGAGGACATACATCTGATGCATGTAGCTGACCCCTTCACAGATCTGCTTGACAAATACCATGGCGTCCACCTCGGTCAGCGGTGTGCTCTCATCCACAATCCTGTCAAACAGCTCCCCGCCCTCAACACTGCCACACACAGACATAAGGTTGACCAACTCCACTTCTCCTTTCTCCCCTTTCCATTGTGTACTTTTGATTGAGGTATACTGTATGTAATGCACCTTGTCTTTGTTTTCATAATGTATCCATATTTGTGGTGATTCAGTGTTCTGTATATATGTCTCTGAGTGCTGCCAGCAAACCAAATCCTCCCTCAGGAGATCATTAAAGTATATTAATTAATTGTTAATTTATTGATCCCTGTTAAATGATTTGTAGAATGTTTGGAAGCACTACAATGTAATGGAGATCTTGCTAACCAATGACAATGAATAGCAGAGTGGAATATGAAGGAATAGTAGCCACTTACTACTCCAGAATTAACACCAGCTGGTGCTTGGCCTCAAAGGCCTCGTAGAGCTGGAGGATGTTAGGATGACTCAGCTGGTTCATCACCTGCACCTCGTTATTTGCCCTTTCCTGAGAGAACAACACAGGCAAATGTGTACATGAACATACAAATATGTACCTGTAAATATGCAGTATATATATTTGTAGTCATGAAATGTAGGACTGCTTTGAGTGGACAAAATGCAAATTATCTCATTTATCAGTCAACTTACTCACTCACCTTTTCTTTAGCAGTCCGTGTGTTGATTATCTTAGCTGCGAGTTTAAGTCCAGAGGATTTTTCGGTGCACTTGTGCACCTTGCCAAAGCGTCCGCTGAGGGAAAAATTTGTTTTTCTTAACTCATTAACACACAAACCCAATAGCCAGTAGATAACATCTGACAGATTAGTACTTCTACCACTATTCCAGACCAGTAGGCTACAGATGTCAGCTTACCTCCCCAGCACCTCTCTGGTGTGGATAATGAAGGTGTCAGATGTGGGGTTGGATCGCAACGACACACAGTGGTGAAGGAAAGGAGCCGGCTGGGGGGGAACGTCATCTGAGAGATAGATAGATAGAGAGAGAGAGAGAGCGAGAGATAAAGATTGGGAGGGCACCACTCATTAGCACAACGTCAGTACACTTCTCTGTATACTAGCATACTAATCCCCAAATTCTCAAACACTAAGGCCTTTTGTGCACGGAAGTCAACATTCACCTATGACCTTATGGCAGGTTTTGGGTGGGGACTTGGGCCGGGTCCTTTCTGCTGCAGCAGGGACTACTCTGATCTGTATTCCACTGGCTGCAACTGGACTAGCCCTTCCCAACACACTGCAGGTCTTCCCAACAGCAGGTCCACGGGCAGGGCAGACAGACTGCGGCATGGGCCTTGAGCTCTGGATCCTGGACCAGAAAGAAGGCCAGCACAAACAGAGCAGACTAGCGTTTATACGTTGTATGGTGGAAAGCAATGTGATTCACATCGGTGGTGGATGTGTCGAGTTTTTCACATATAGATATGATATCCAATCATTGATCATTTCTATTAGTATGTATGTTAGGTGATGAGTAAGCTCCTTTACCTCTGCAAGGACTCTGGACAGCTGTGCACTTGTCTGAGGGAGGAGCTCTCCACGGTTGCCATAAGGACAGCCAACCCAGACTGATTTTTTGGTGCGGGGGTGGGACTTGAGGGAGCAGCTGCTTGGTTCTCCGTCACTGTGGTCCTCGTCTGAGTCTTTGGAGTGTCCGCCATTGATGGGACAATCGCTACAGCTGGAACCTCTCTCATCCCACCCCTTTTAGTTTCACTCTGTCTGTGGGACTCTGCTGCCATTGGTTGACCTCTGACCCCCTGTTGGTTCCCTCCAATCCGCTGCTCTCCTGCTGCAGCCCCAACACAGTCTCTTTGCTCTGCTCCCATACCTGCAGACACCCCTTAATTAATATATGTCTATCCATTCATATGTCAATGCTTTCACTGTGTTTGTATCTATCATATAACACATAAACACCCATCGAAGCCATGAATGTTGGTCAGCTCAATCTAGCCAAATGTAGGTCTTAAGCTCACAGAGTATGACATGACTATAGTCATACCACTAAAATGGAAGTGAATTACCTTTCTTTGCAGGAGCGATAGGAGTGTGTTGCGTTGTTTCCTGGTGTCTGTTCGTCTCAAACTGATTCTGGGTCTCAGCCTGAGCATGAGAGAAACATAGAGGCCGCTTGAGCATCTCACAAGGTGTGCCACTGACCAATCATCAATTAAAAGGCTCGTTTTAGGTTTTGCCATTTAGAGATATCAAGTAGACACATATCCATGCAATGTATACACAAAACCATTCACACAATGAAAAAGCATACAATAAGAGTACCTTTTCAGTGCTTAATGAATCGCTGACTGGCAGAGATGCTGTCCTAAGTGATGCCTCGATGGGTGTGGCCGCTTGGTTCTTTGTCACTGTGGTCCTCGTCTGAGTCAAAGTCTTTTGAGTGTGCACCGTTGATGGGACAACCGCTACTGCCAGCCGTGTCAATGTTTTCGTTGCATCTATCTCTGTCAAATAACACACCAATTGAATCCACCCTGGATATTGGTCACCTGCATTTGGTCTAGAGCTCATCGAGTATGAATATAGTTACCTTTCTTTGCTGGGGTGGTAGGAGTGTGTTGTGTCTTGTCCTGCTGTCTGTTTGTCTCCAACTGATCCGGGATCTCATCCTGACCATGAGAGAACATATAGCACCAGACATTGGGCCACTGACCAATCATCAACTAAAACAGTTGCTTTATGTTTTGTCATTTATATATTGTACATGTTTACCATGTTGACATTTATCAACATGGAAAAAGACCATGCAGTGTATACACATAACCATGCACACAATGAGGAAACAGACTCAAAGTACCTTAGAAGTGACTAATGACGTCCTGGCTGGCAGATATACTGTCCTAGGTGGTGGCTCGATGGGTGGGGCTGGGGAAGCTCCCTGGCAAGTGTGGGGGTTCCTTTGCTCCAGACCTCATTTACAAGACAAAACCGAATTATCCTCAAAGGAAATTGGACACATTTCCTACAAGCCTCTCTCATCTTCACAGTAGCATGGACGTTGTTGTAACATCAACATTTTGTGAACAAAATTATTGTAATTCATGTCCACTTCACAGCTATTAATCTCCTTTGAAATGCAGTTTGAAACTTTGATGCAGATACACGGCATTGATTGAGACATTGAAATACTAAACCATGGGTCAATCCTGTAGAGAGCTCAGTCAAACTTAGATTGTCAATAACAATACAATACTTCCATGTGTCATTTCAGATCGATTGAACGTTACCTTTGGCCAGGCCCTCTAAGGTCCTCTGCATCTCACTGATCTTCCTCTCCAAGTTCTCTAGCAGCCTGGACTGGGCCACAAGCTGCCTTTCTGTTGCCTCTGGCTGGCCACTGTGCAGACTGCAGGTGGAGCAGATGGTGCAGGCACCTATTTCTCTGGAGAGGAGCTCATCCAACTTGTGAGTCAAGTGATCTACTTTGGCCTCTAGGACAGGTAGGTTTGTGGGGTGTGGGACAGGTGGCGGACACCGCACTGAACCCATGATGAACAGTGGTCCTCAATAGGCCTCCGCAAAACAAAAGCCTCTAGACTAGAAGCAGGAGTCACACAGAAGACAGAGGCAGAGTTATCCTCAAGAAATGGAAGGGCTGGTTACAAATGGTTTCTAGTTACAAATGGTCCAAAAGTCAGGACAGTTGGTTACAGCTCCCTCCACAAATATAATGTTTGGTACTCTTCAGGCTTCCTCTCAGAGCTCTTAAATTGTACCTACCTCTTAGATCAATGAAAGCTGTAGAAGGCAGAACGTCAGAGCAGGTAAAGAAGCAGAATGACCAGTATTGGTAAGAGTCAGACAGTAGGGGTTGGTCCTGTCCAGAGGAGAAAGCCACAGTGAGCTGGTTTGCTCCGTTATCTCTTCCAGCGACAGCCTCATGGTCCAGAAATAGGCAAGCGAGGGGCAAGGGCGCCGAGGGTTGGGAAACAGTAGCAGATAACGAAGGTATGCATGGCAGGCCAGACAGACGCAGTTCCTCTGATGGAGAGCATGTGCACACAAAAACATTTTTATTTGGGCATAGAAGGTAGTGATCCAAATGTCTGGGTCTTGCCTAATCGAGTTAGAACCAATCCTTTCCAGACTTGGACCAGACTCCTAATTTGCACATCTGTTGGTGTGTTAATAGTCTCACTAAACTATTAGATACTCTTCCCAAGAGTATGATTACTGAAATGACACAGCTTGGCCTCCATCCAACCTTACCCACTAGCTCAGTGCCTTAACCTCTGGTCCCCAAGATGGTTTGTCTACACTATAGTATTTTTAAGCAAGCCCACAAAGAGAACCATAGCTTAGGCCCTGGTACAAAAAAATGTTTCGAAACACTGCAGTAGCTCATAACGGAGGCCAGAGGTTACTAAAACTACTGAAAACTTCACCAAGGCATAAACAAATGTTGTAGTCCATTTTTTTTGGCAGAAGGCTGCTGCGGCAACATGTTGCAGACAGTCAAAAGACTTCAATGCAGAAATGAATCTACACTGAACAAAAATATAAACGCAACATGTAAAGTGTTGGTCCTGTTTCATGAGCTCAAATAAAATATCCCAGTAATGTTCCATACACACAAAAAGCTTATTTCTCTGAAATTCTGTGCACAAAATGTGTTTACATCCCTGTCAGTGAGCATTTCTCCTTTGCCAAGATAATCCATCCACCTGACAGGCGTGGCATATGAAGAAGCTGATTAAATAGCTTGATCATTACACAGGCGCAGCTTGTACAGGGGACAATAAAAGGCCACTCTATAATGTGCAGTTCTGTCACAACACAATTCCACAGAGGTCTCAAGTTGAGGGAGCGTGCAAACTGACTACAGGAACGCCCACCAGATCTGTTGCTAGATAATTTAATGTTCATTTCTCTATCATAAGCCGCCACCAACCTCATTTTAGAGAATTTGGCCGTACGTCCAACCCGCCTCACAACCGCAGATCACGTGTATGGAGTCATGCGGGCGAGTGGTTTGCTGATGTCAACCTTGGGGACAGTGCCCCATGGTGGCGGTGGGGTTATGGTATGGGCAGGCATAAGCGACGACAACAAACACCATTGCATTTTATCGATGGCAAATACACAAAAATACTGTGACACGATCCTGAGGCCCATTTATTTTAATGTAATGTATCTGTGACCAACAGATGCATATCTGTATTCCCAGTCTTGTGAAATTAATAGATTAGGGCCTAATGAATTTATTTAACTTGCTCATATGAACTCAGTAATAATCAATGAAATTGTTGCATTTATATTTGTTTCAGTATACATACACATTCCTTTAAAGATAGTAAGGATGTAAAGTCTGATGTATGAATTAAAACATTAAGACATTCAAAGTAAAAACTTTATTATACATTATTGAATGAGACAGTAAGTCAGAACAAACGAGCAAAAAATGTACAGGTAAAATGGGAATGAGAAGTTAGAATGTTTCTTAGGATTAGAAGTTACTGAGCTACACATTAAAACAGAGGTTTGTGAATTGTTCCATAATAGCGTTATACTTTGGCAAGTAGAAGGGGTCAGAAGCAATTTTCCAACTAACCTGTTCGATGATACAATACTTCTGAATTGAGCACTAAAGTATCTTATAGATCTCAGTGTTCAGTTGCAGGTGGTTCCCCAGAAAGATTACAGAGCGGAGAAATGCCTCTTGCATGTGTGTAGAGCTACACTTTGCAGCGTTGCAGAGACACGACTAAAATGGCAAGGGAACTCCTCACTAAGTGTAAAACATAGGATTTTACCAGCTCTTAGAATACTCTGTTTTTTTTGGAGACCCACCTGCAACTGAAGACATTTAAAATATGTACTTTTCATCCGAAACAGTATCGCCAAGAACAGATTACTTGAAAAATGGCTTCAGACCCTTTCTACTAGCCAAGGTATAACTCTACTGTGGAAGAATTCACATACTGCAGTTAATGTATAGCTACAAACTAATTAAAAGGAAGACTACAGAAGTGAGATACAATAACTAAATGGAGTGGTTATATACACACACAATTAAATCCTTTCCATCAGCCATCACATGCGGAAGCGGTCAGAAAAGTTGGGAGACTGGGGCACAGTAAGTGTGACGTCGCTCTTCTTCAGCTCCAGCTGTTTGTAGCGTCTGATGGGCTGGGCTTTGTGGACCTGAGGGACGGAGAGGGGACATTAAGATGCTGTTCAAACACCCACGCACCCGTTTACACCGAGGTCCAAGCAGGGCTTCGGTTCCAACAAACCAACCATTAACACCGACTTCAACTATATCAAAGGCCTGAATAAGCAATTCATTAGTTGTATCAGGTGTGTTGGTGCTGGGCTGGAACAAACACCAGAGACGTATTAATTAGGGTACACAACATTTTGTAACAGAAAAGGAATGTTTCTTGAACAAGTTCAGGTGGTCCCTCCTGGATTTCACCCCAGTTTGAGCCAAAGGAATACTACCCAGATGCGTTTGTGCTGGAACAAAAGCCTGCACACCATGTAGAGAGAATGGTTGATTTCAATAGCTCAGGTTTAAAATGGAATATGGACACCAAGTGCTACCACGTTGCAAAAAAATGTTTCTTCTGTTTGGATTCCCATTAGCTATTGTATTGTAAGTGCGTAACCAACTTTTTGGGGGACTGGTCTAAGGTCAGCGTAGTTACCTGCTCTTGGCGTAGCCTGGCCATTTTCTCCTTCTCGCACTCCTCCTGCTCCATCCGCTGCTCCTCCTCCATGCGAGCTCTCAGCGCCTCCTTTTCATTAACCGCCCGCTCAAACTCCAGCCGCTCCTTGGCGCGGCGCTCTGTGGATAGCTGGAAGAGCTCTGGAACTACGGAATGATTAATGTCTTCTAAAGAGTGCCAAGGAAAAGGGGTTGGAAGAAAAGGAAGAGGGTGGGGTGAAAAGGGTTTGGGTGGTGAGGTGTTTTCAAAGGTAGGAGGAGGAAAAATGGAAAGTGAAAGGTGGGAAGCAAAAAATAATACAAATAAAGGTTAGGGGTGCGGAAGCCAAGCTCAGCGTTTCCCAAACAAAGCCCATGTAAAGGAGTAGGCAACCCTGATCCAGCGTTTAGAGACTTAAGAAAAACGAAAGTCATTCAGTTGGCATTTGTAGTTGGAGGAAGAAATATGCTCGAGTCAAACATCCTTCCCCTGGAGATGGGTAATGATCCAAGAAAACTGCTCAGGGTGACAAAATGATGGAATCCCTTAGATAAAAATGGTGGAAACATTTTATGAGTTGAATAAAGAAGTCCAACAGGTTTCCAGAACCAGGGTTGTTCATGGCCACCACAGTGCAGAAAGCAGAGGTGAGCGAGGCTGTTGTGGTCATACGTACCCAGGACTGAGCGGTTCTCTTTCTTGGGCATGAATGGCTCTTTGTGAATGGCCGTGTTTGGTCGAGCTTTGAAGGTGGCTGCCTCCGCCTGGTGCTTCTGTTCCTCCTTCATCTGAGAACAAATTGGAGGAAATGTGAGAAATACTTTATGGGGGCAGGGAATATGATTGTGTGTGTATATGCATGAAGATTGACTGCCTGACATATTCTGGTGCCAGACTCAAACATAATTAGTTATTCCATGTACTGTATATGGTCAAAGTATGAAAGCAACTGCATGGACTTTGCCACATCTTCAGTTTGAAGCAGGGCAGGAATTCAATAAAGCAAGTCTTACCATCTGCTCCCAGCGGTCATTCTTGGCGGCTCCCCGCTCATCGAGGAGCAGCTTGAAGGGCTCAGGCTTGGTGGGCTCAGCCACCTTCTTCTCTGGCAGGACCACCTCATGGAAGTCTGGCAGTGGTTGGGCCTTGAACTTTGGCGCCTGAGGGGTTAACATTTTAAATAATGAAACAGACGAAGCCATTTAGGCTATATTGTCAGACCAACACACTGCATTAGGATGACATTTTCTAGCTCTACAACTTGCATCAAAAGGCTATCATTCTTCATCCCAAACGAATGTTGCATCACAAATCTTACAAAGCACACAGTGCTAGGCCACTAGAGGATTAATTACTTCTCTCCTAATCTAATGACAGGCAACTGCACCTGTAATGCATTTAGTGGCATCATTCATCAGGTCTACCCAAAATCGATAGAATGTAAGGCAAATGATACACGAGGAGAAATCTGAACAGTTTTAAGGCAGTTAATGGGGGTACCTCTTCGTGCCTCAGCTCCTCCAGCCTCTTCTCTTTCAGCACCCTCCTCTCGCGCTCCCTCTCTTCAAAGGAGAAGGGGCACACCTCCACCTGGGTCTTGTCCTGGAGCTTAGGCAGAAAGGGCAGGCCAAAGTGGGGCACAGCGTGGGCCTTGAGCGGGGCCGGGAGTTTCACCTCCTCCACTTTTCTGTCCATGCGCACCTTCTTCAGGGCCCACGCAGGGGACTCTGGAACAGTGGGACACTGCACCTTCTTCTCCGGGACACCCTGTAAACCAAAAGGTGTGGGTAGACCATTAACAAGGGAGCCATCACATCTTATATACCATCATAGTATTATACCAGTGCTAGACTGCTTTGAATAGATATGTCTGGAGGATAAAACTCTGAAAGCCTCAAACTACTAGCATTGGTGCCCGTCTTCATCAGTTCCTTTGTTTAAGGAGCAGACGCGAAACAAACTGTACAACCAATCCAGTGTAAAAATACATGACAATCCAGTAAAAAAATTGAGTTGGTCATGTAGCACTCACCACCACCTCCTCCAGGATCCTGACAGGCAGTGGGCGGGAGTGGAAGGTGTGCTGCTCCTCGGGCTCCTCCGGCTTCTTGCTGGCCTGACGCTCCGCAAGTCTCTTGTCCATATGCATATGGAATACCTCCGGGTGAGTGGACTCCTTCACAGTGGGCTTCTTGGGGTTCAGCGCCCCCTCCAGGATCTTCCTGTTCAGCTCCAGGGCCTTGAACTTAAACCTGGAATATACAGGACAGTGGTGGATTCATTTATTAGCAATTTAATAAGTAGAGGAGACAATTCCCTATTCAAACTGACAATCATATGTGTTCTACACAATGTATTTCTATCTTTCTGTCCTCCTGAACAAGGCTCAAGGTTGTTGGACTATGGATGAGCTGGAGCACCAGCAAACATTTTTGCCTTCGTTCAAGTCTCATTGAGAGTACACACAGGTAAAAGTAACCCAACAGTCTAATAACTACTATGCAGAGGGTAGAAGGATAGAGCGTGAATAAGTCATAAGTGTAGACTCACTGTTGAAGTTTCTGGAGCTCCTCTGCCTCCAGCTCAGCGCTGCTCTTGACCGCCGTGGGACGGCTCCTCTGCCGGGTCATCAGCTGAGGGGTGTGAGGGTGGGTGATCTTAAGATGCTCACTCTTCACAGGAGACGGGCCTGAAAGAGAGGAGATCATATTTTAATTTGCTGCCACCCCCCACATCGTACTTAACTCCGGAATAACAGCCACGCATACAGTGAGCACATCCCAGGGTATGAGACTGCCATCCATCGTCTGTAATGTACAACAATGCCAAAGACTGGCTGGATTAGGAGCTAATATACGCACCCCTCTCCTGGCTCTGTCGACTGCGAAGGTGGTAGCGGGTCGGTGTGCGTTTCTGGAACAGCTCAATCTGTTGGGCCATGGGCATGAAGGGGACAGGGTCCGCCACCTTCCTCTTGCTGCCAGTGGACAGGTTGAAGGGCTTGGGAACAGTGGCACCCTTCGGCGCCTTGGCCTGAGAAGGAAATAATTCAGGAGATTAATTAAAGAGAAACAAACAATCCCAAATATGTTTGGGTGAATTGACAACCTAGGTAAGTGGAAAATCATATCTTTGGGTTGTGTGAACTATCCCTTTAATTACCATAGCAGCTGATGTGGCCAAACAGAAAGCTAGCTACTTACGGGGGAGGCCGGGTGCTTGCGGAGCTGAGCAGTGAAGTCCACCTCCCTGTGGGTTGATGCAGTGCCCGCCTTGACGCGCCCATCTGTGCTGAAGTTGAACTCTTTGGGTACGGTGGTGGCCAGAGCCAGCTTCTTAGGGAGCTGACCTGAGTGACAAGATTAAATCCCTCTTAATTAAGGCAGACAGACTTGCAACGCTTCACTTGTAGGAAGAAAGGAGGGTTACTCACTGCCTGCCAAGGCAGCCTTGTAGCTGACCTCGTTCCTCTTCCGCTGGTCAGCCACCTCCTTCTGAAGTGTCTTGATGTGTACCATCTCCTGATGCTCAGAGCTCTTATGCCTGGGTGGACATACACTATGATAACACAATCTAGGGATATTAACCTTCAAAGGCAGTGTTCTACAATCCTGGTCCTAGAGAACCACTGGTTGTCCTAACCCAGCGCAAACACTTGATTAGTTGAATAAGGCGTTTCTGCTAGGGCTATAACACTGAGGGATGGGGCTCGGGAAATGTAACCACTAAAATGCCTTAACGTAGCCATGGACGAAAGGACTGACAGGCTTGTCGGCACCAATATCAGGTAATGATGCCTCCTTGACTAATTGCTGAATCCATTCAAATCCATTAGTGATAGAATGACTTACTGTGTGGTGCTGGGGGCTGCTGCAGCGGGCCGAGCCTGGGTGGCTGCTCTGGGGTTTAGTCGCACGCTGGTACGGACACTACCACTGCGTTTGGGGGGCAGAGATGAGCTCCTGAGAACCGGACACAAACCAAGACAGTTGGGTTACTTTTCTCCACAAGACAATTGGTCAAGGTTAATTATTAAACATCAAGTCCTTGCACTAAAAGCATATGCCATGCAAAGGTGACAAAACTATACCTGCATGTGAAAAAGTAATACATTGGCACATTCACTAATGACCAACACCCAATGTTCATTTCATATTTCAAACCCAATAATGAACAGTTTTGACCATGCCTAACTAGCCACCTCAAAAAACATTTTCACCATGGGAGGGGGAAGACCCTCCAGTTGTTTACCTTCGATGCGGGCGAAAGGTTCTTACAGCAGTTGGGTTTGAGCTGTAAACAGTAAGACTGATGACTAGGATTACATCCAGGGCTAGATTGAATAATCCCAGGCACACAGCTGCTCATGATAACAATGGAATAGACAGGTGGCAGAATGGTGCAAATGAATACGTTTACAGACCTTCTCGGCTTCTTGACAGGTGGTGCGGCTTGAGGGGCGGTGTGCTGTCCTTCCTCATTGCTGGGTGCCTCTTTGCGCTTTGACACCCTTCAGTGGAGAAACAGGATTGCCACTTGGAAGCATACAGTTGGTTGGTCTAATGTTGACTAGTTAGGTCAAATACAACAGGAACTTTATTTACTCCTGGACTGGTCTGCAGCTAAACATGCAGATGCTTGTTTTGGAACAGAGACATTACTTTAGAGTTAACCTTTTTAGCTTTCCTTTTAACTTTTGCAATAATCCAAATATTCTGAACACCCATGAATGCAGCAGGACGAAGGCTGCAATAATAATCTGTGGGGCTTGTGAAAACTCAACTTGACCAATGTACAGCCTTACAGAACTCTCAAACAAGATGTTAGCTGAGTGTTCTAGAAGCAACATACCTGCGTGGTTGGGCAGGTGGTCCATTCTTTGGCAGGGCAGCTACCGGTGCTGGCCTATTTCCCCAGGAGGTGACAATGTTGGAGGGGGTGACTGAGGACGTGCTCGGGGTATCTGCTGTGGTGGGTACTGAGGATGTGCTTGGGGCCTCTATTGTGGAAACATGAAGAGTCAGCACATTACACACAGGTCAGTCAAACTTGTGAATGTATCTGGCCTAGATAATCACGCAACTGTCCAAAGTACCAACCCGAGTCCGAGTTGTCTTTCACCCTGGGAGATACAATCGCCCTGGGCAGGTGTGCTTTGGGGGTCGCACCAAATGGTATGTTGTTTCTGTTTGGGGTGGCGAGGTGGCAAAACAGTCTCTCATCCTGGCCTGCACATTGGTCTGCAGAACATCACACGATTCAGCAATGAATTGTGGGAATTCAAGAACTTGGCAAGTTAGCTGCCACTTCCAGAGCATGTAGCCAGGCCCCAATTGGAGCCTGCTGACAAACATTGAAATACATGCATTCATCCTGGGAAGCTCCATTCTTACTAGCCTTGAGACCATTAGTTGAATTGCATTCCCAGTCAGCCAAAGTTTCCTCTCAAGACCTCTACAAGCCAGAATGTTGGATAAAATGGTTTTAACTTAATTTACTGATGTCCTTGCAGTTAGTCCTTTTGCAGGTAGGATTGTGAAACCATATTTCCACCGGAAAGTGTAATTGCATAAATTTTTCTAAGCGCTGGTAGTGCATTCAGATTTCTATCACCTGAAGCACGTGCAGAACCATGTAAACACGTGCACGAGCTCTATAGGTATGAATGAGTCTCCTGCATGCATTTATCTTGAGCACACGTTTCAAGTGATAGAAATCGGAACTCACTACCGGCGCTTTGAAAAGTTGATGTAATTATACTTTCCTGTGGATGGATATGTTGTCTCATTCCTACCTGCAAAAGGACCAACCACACGGACAACCGTTAAAGTTAAAATATCATTTTATTGTGGCTTGTAGAGGTGGTGAGAAGAAACGTTCCTGATCCAAACGCTCATTTATGCCCTAACGTATAATTCAATGACATTCAAAATACTGTAACATTGTGCACAAGCATGCAAACATAGGTTTCTAACCATCTTACCAAACCAAATGTCTGCGTTATCCTCCGTATCAAATGTTTGGAAATCAATGACATGTGACGGTGCATCGAATTCGTAGTGACTAGCCGATTCGCTCTGCGCCATCTCAGCACCTAAAGTCTAAACAAGCAGATTAGATGCATGATGTGAGTTGTTCAGATGAGTTAGCTAACTAACGTTATTCACTCACAAACCATTAACATAACACATTTAACTGCGTAGCGACAATATATACGTTATTATAACAAGCACGCGAGAACTATATAAATACCAAATTAATATCAGAAATTGTGTATTGAAGTTAGTTAGGTAGCATTAGGCCACCTAACGAGGTAGCTAGCTATTGATCAAAATTATCTGCTGGGTAAATTATAAGATACAAAAGAGATGTCAATTAAAATACAAAATATTATAACGTACCTCTCAAACGTATCTTATAAACACAACCAACCCGTAATAGAAATCCCGTGAGCTGAACTACACTATTGAGAGCGCAAAATAACAAAGGAGGTTTGGCGTTACCGTTTAAATTTCCTCGCCATTTGAACCAGCCAATCAACAGCCTCGTCCAGATCAATCGGTTTTCCATTGGCTCCATATTGGCTACGTCACGGCATTCACAATTGATATTTCCTGTCACGTGAGGAGTTTCTGTAACTTTAAAACAAACAATCTCTGCCCACATTCTATACATTTTCATTTAGCCACATTTTGCTCATTTAGCAGACGCGCTTATCCAGAGAGTGACGGGGGTTGGGGAGTAACCGCTACTTCTGATTACAAAAAAACTGTAATCAGTAATGTTACCAGCAAAAATATTGTAATTGGATTACAGATACTTTTGAAAAGTATGATTACTTTTAAATTCAGAAAGGATATTTGTGAGAAAAAAATATGATGACTCCTTTCTGTTTTCTCAATGACATTCAAATCAGCATTGAAAATAGGCTTAAGTAAATTTGTTCCACCTGAGCATGTCTGACCACAAGTCAGAGACCACTATGATCACACACCAAATTAATTTGATGGATCCTTTTTGTCTTTTTCTAATTCCTCAAGGGGAAAGTAATCCAAAAGTAACTGAAAGTAATAGGATTACGTTACTGAGTTTGGGTAATCCAAAAGTTACATTACTAATTTGGTCAGATGACGCGGATGCTACGCTACAGGACTGTTTTGCTAGCACAGACTGGAATATGTTCTGGGATTCATCCAATGGCATTGAGGAGTATACCACCTCAGTCATCGGCTTCATCAATAAGTGCATCGACGACGCCGTCCCCACAGTGACCATACGTACATATCCCAACCAGAAGCCATGGATTACAGGCAACATCCACATCGAGCTAAAGATCTGCCGTTTTCAAGGAGCAGGACACTAATCCGGACACTTATAAGAAATCCCGCTACGCCCTCAGACGAACCATCAAACAGGCAAAGCGTCAATACAGGATTAAGATTGAATCCTACTACACCGGCTCTGACGCTCGTCAGATGTGGCAGGGCTTGATAACTATTACTGACTACAAAGGGAAACCCAGCCGCGAGCTGCCTAGTGACGCGATGCCTACCACACGAGCGAAATGCCTTTTATGCTCACTTCGAGGCAAGCAACACTGAAGCCTGCATGAGAGCACCAGCTGTTCCGGACGACAGTGTAATAACGCTCTCGGTAGCCGATGTGAGCAAGACCTTTTAAACAGGTCAACATTCACAAAGCCGCGGGGCCAGACGGATTACCAGGACGTGTACTCAAAGCATGCGCGGACCAACTGGCAAGTGTCTTCACTGACATTTTCAACCTCTCCCTGGCCGAGTCTGTAATAGCAACATGTTTCAGGCAGACCACCATAGTCCCTGTGCCCAAGGGAGCGAAGGTAACCTGCCTAAATTATTACCGCCCTGTAGCACTCACGTCGGTAGCCATCAAGTGCTTTAAAAGGCTGGTCATTGCTCACATCAACACCATCATCCCGGATACCCTAGACCATTGGTGCCCAGGACGTCGATCGAACTTCTTTCTAGTAGACTGCATGAAAGTTTTCAAAATGTAGGCACTAAAAATATATATTTTGCCAATTCACAACGTTACCATCAAGTCTGCTTAAAAATAATGAGGTCCACAGTTCTGAAACACTGTATGCTTTCTTGAAAATTACTGCACAGCCAAAAAAAAAAAAAAATGCTTGATTTACATAAAATTGGACCAACCCGTGGCACTATAGTTGCTACATTTGTTTTCCAAACTGTCGCTACCATAGCAACCATCTGCAGTAAGTACGTTTACATTTCCACGCTTGCGAGACCTGTAACAGACCTGTAACAGAATATTATTTGTTGTTCTTCTATGAAGTTGCGGTTAAGTTTTTTATATGAGTGCTGGACCAAGCAGCAAGAAACTGAAAATCTACCACTTTTTTTTCACCACAACAAATTCAAAATCTGTGTATCTGATCTGCCATTAAAACGTAGCTCTTGCTAAGAAGGGAAATGTCGAGATACATTTCAAAACTGTTCACAAGAAATATGAAAGTGACTTTCCAGCTAAAAGTGAACTACGTAAGAGAAAAGTAAAAGAGTTGAAGTCTCAACTAGCTGCCCAACAATAGAGCTTTACAAGGCCCAGCTCAAAATCAAAGACAGCCACGATTGCATCATTCTGGGTGAGTCGCATACTAGCAAAGCACAAGAAACCGTTCCAGGATGGAGAAATGGTAAAAGATGCCTTTTTAGAGGCAGCAGAATCATTGTTTGATGATTTCAAAAATAAATCAGAAATAATTTCCGCTATTAAGGATGTTCAGCTATCCAGAACGACTGTTACACTGTGCTGTGAAATCAATCAATAAGGTGAAATGTTATTTAATATTGGCAGGGTAGACCACGTTAGGAAGAGGGTGGAAAAAGTAGATCCTATGTAACTAAAGTCTGGGCACCACTGCCCTAGACCCCCTCCAATTCGCATACCGCCCCAACAGATCCACAGATGACGCAATCTCATTCGCACTCCACACTGCCCTTTCCCACCTGGACAAAAGGAACACCTATGTGAGAATGCTGTTCATTGACTACAGCTCAGCGTTCAACACCATAGTGCCCACAAAGCTCATCACTAAGCTAAGGAACCTGGGACTAAACACCTCCACTGCAACTGGATCCTGGACTTCCTGACGGGCCGCGCCCAGGTGGTAAGAGTAGGCAACAACACTTCTGCCACGCTGATCCTCAACACTGGGACCCTACAGGGGTGCGTGCTTAGTCCCCTCCTGTACTCCCTGTTCACCTACGACTGCATGGCCAAACACGACTCCAACACCATAATTAAGTTTGCTGACGACACAACAGTGGTAGGCCTGATCACCGACAACGATGAGGCAGCCTATAGAGAGGAGGTCAGAGACCTGGCAGTGTTGTGCCAGGACAACAACCTCTCCCTCAATGTGAGTAAGACAAAGGAGATGATCGTGGACTACAGGAAAAGGCTGGCCGAACAGGCTCCCATTAACATCGACGGGGCTGAATTGAAGTGGGTCGAGAGTTTAAAGTTCCATGGTGTCCACATCACCAACAAACTATCATGTTCCAAACACACCAAGACAGTCAAGAAGAGGGCACGACAACACCTTTTCCCCCTCAGGAGACTGAAAAGATTTGGCATGGGTCCCCAGATCCTCAAAAAGTTATACAGCTGCACCATGAAGAGAATCCTGACCGGTTGCATCACCGCCTGGTATGGCAACTGCTCGGCATCTGGCCATAGTGCGTACGGCCCAGTACATCACTGGTGCCAAGCTTCCTGCCATCCAGGACCTATATACTAGGCGGTCAGAGGAAAGGCCAAAAAATTGTCAAAGACTCCAGTCACCCAAGTCATAGACTGTTCTCTCTGCTAACGAACGGCAAGCGGTACCGGAGCGCCAAGTCTAGGACCAAAACGCTCCTTAACAGCTTCTACCCCCAAGTCATAAGACTGCTGAACAATTAATCTAATGGCCACCCAGACCATGTACCTTAACACACCTCCATTTGTTTTTACACTGCTGCTACCCACTGTCTATTATCTACAGTTGAAGTCGGAAGTTTACATACACTTAGGTTGGAGTCATTAAAACTAGTTTTTCAACCACTCCACAAATTTCTTGTTAACAAACTATAGTTTTGGCAAGTCGGTTAGGACATCTACTTTTTGCATGACAAGTAATTTTTCCAACAATTGTTTACAGACAGATTGTTTCACTTATAATTCACTGTATCACAATTCCAGTGGGTCAGAAGTTTACATACACTAAGTTGACTGTGCCTTTAAACAACTTGGAAAATTCCAGAAAATGATGTCATGGCTTTAGAAGCTTCTGATTTGAGTCAATTGGAGGTGTACCTGTGGATGTATTTCAAGGCCTACCTTCCAATTCAGTGCCTCTTTGCTTGAAATCATGGGAAAATCAAAATAAATCAGCCAAGACCTCAGATAAACAATTGTAGACCTCCACAAGTCTGGTTCATTCTTGGGAGCAATTTCCAAACACCTGAAGGTACCACGTTCATCTGTACAAACAATAGTACGCAAGTATAAACACCATGGGACCACGCAGCTGTCATACCGCTCAGGAAGGAGACGCGTTCTGTCTCCTAGAGATGAATGTACTTTGGTGCGAAAAGTGCAAATCAATCCCAGAACAACAGCAAAGGACCTTGTGAAGATGCTGGAGGAAACAGGTACAAAAGTATCTATATCCACAGTAAAACGAGTCCTATATAAACATAACCTGAAAGGCCGCTCAGCAAGGAAGAAGCCACTGCTCCAAAACCGCCATTAAAAAGCCAGACTACGGTTTGCAACTGCACATGGGGACAAAGATAGTACTTTTTGGAGAAATGTCCTCTGGTCTGATGAAACAAAAATAGAACTGTTTGGCTAAAATGACCATCGTTATGTTTGGAGGAAAAAGGGGGTTGCTTGCAAGCCGAAGAACACCATCCCAACCGTGAAGCACGGGGGTGGCAGCATCATGCTGTGGGGGTGCTTTGCTGCAGGAGGGACTGGTGCACTTCACAAAATAGATGGCATCATGAGGAAGGAAAATTATATGGATATATTGAAGCAACATCTCAAGACATCAGTCAGGAAGTTAAAGCTTGGTCGCAAATGGGTCTTCCAAATGGACAATGACCCCAAGCATACTTCCAAAGTTGTGGCAAAATGGCTTAAGGACAACAAAGTCAAGGTATTGGAGTGGCCATCACAAAGCCCTGACCTCAATCCTATAGAAAATGTGGGCAGAACTGAAAAAGCGTGTGCGAGCAAGGAGGCCTACAAACCTGACTCAGTTACACCAGCTCTGCCAGGAGGAATGGGCCAAAATTCACCCAACTTATTGTGGGAAGCTTGTGGAAGGCTACCCGAAACGTTTGACCCAAGTTAAACAATTTAAAGGCAATGCTACCAAATACTAATTGAGTGTATGTAAACTGCTGACCGAAATAAATCATTCTCTCTACTATTATTCTGACAATTCACATTCTTAAAATAAAAGTGGTGATCCTAACTGACAGTTGGTAGAGCATGGCGCTTGCAACGCCAGGGTTGTGGGTTCGTT